GACGTCAAAGATCACTAAAGATTAATTCTAAAGGAAAATTATAAGCTATATCAAATAAAGAAAAAGATAATCTATGAGATTTGCCAACACAACAAGATGAAAAAAATCAACAACTTTATTATTAGTGGTAACATTACATTGGTGCAGAACAAGGTTTAAAACATTTATATTTGGGTGGCCTAACCTAGCATGCCACAGATTACAAATAGCAGAGGGAGAAGAAAAAGTAGTTGTAGGAATAGGAGAACTAGTGGTAGTATGAAACTGAGGAGGCTTAAACATGACAGGAGAAGGGGTTGCAGGAAATGTGAGAGCAGGAAAGGAATAGAGTTCATCGGTGTCAACAACACTCTTAAGAAGAACTTGATTTGTGGCCTAAGATTTAACAACAAAAAAGTGAGGATGGAATTTAAAGTAAACTTTATTATCACGGGCAAATTTATTGACACTAATAAGATTTTTGGTGATGGAGGGAACATTATGTAAATAAAGAGAATTTGGAAGACAAGAGGAACCAGAACCGAGAACAGGCAAGCCTTCGCCATTGCCAACATAAATCTTATCTGGCCCGTCAAATGGAGTGAATGTTGAATATTTTGAGAGTCTCCAGTCACATGAAAAGAAGTCCTAGAATCAGGTATTCTAGAGGAGGAGCATGGTGTAGGGACTGAATTTACAAGCATATCAATAGAAACATCAATAGGAGGTCTTGAAGATGGATTAATCCAAGTGTTGAACTTTGACTAAGTAGATTGAGCAATGGAAGAGGACAGCTGCTGATTGGTGGCAGGGTCATAAAGAACAAGAGAATCAGAGGGTTGAAAAGTGGAGTCACCTCAATAGAAGCATAATGGCAACCTCAACCACGACCAACAATGTTTTTACTTCCACGATTAGAGCCTACTTTAAAGGAATTGCCACAACCAAAAGATCTGGGAGATGCAGAATTGGAAGGATGCTTGGGAATAGTGAACTGAAGGAGGAAAAAACTTTTGCTGGTGGCGAGTGGTCCGAGATTCATGAGCAAGAAGGAGCGTTTCAACTTTGGTGAAGGAAGATTACTCAAATTTGCTTTTTTTAATAATAGAAATCAGAATAACACATTCAGGTGGAAGACCTTAAAGGATGGCATCAACGTATTCATCAAGCTTGACTGGACAACCCATTCCAACAAGGTCATCTACAATAGACTTTATTTGATCCAAGAATTCCTTCATAGTTTTGTTTTCAAGAGTCTAAGCATGCATATTAGTGCGTACTTGACGTGCACATGCCTTCATTTGAGTGAAAAAATGATCATTAATTTGCTCCCAAACTTGGTAAGAGTGAACAACACCAAGAACTCAGTGATAAAATATTATTGGATAATGTGGATTGAAGATGAGAGAGTAAGAGTAGATCCTAAACTTCTCGTTCTTCATAGGCTGGATTGAGAGTGTCAGTTTTATGATTGTCATGAGAGGTTTAATAAGATTGATGACAAAGCGATGAAGTTTATGAGATTTAATACCAGACATAATCTGCTGCTTCAAATGCAGATAATTGGAGTCATCCAATTTTTCGGATAGGGTATGGGAAAAAAAATGGGTTAAGGGATGAGTGAGAAATAAGATTAGCCATCTGGATCAATAACATGCTCTTAATACCATATTAGATTTTGAGATTGTTACATAACCACCTAATGATTGTGCAACAATTATAATCATAACAACATAATAACTAGTAACTCATGGAAAAATGTGGAACTAAATCTAAGAATGTGCATACTATTCAACATTTATATCAAATTGATACAAATAAGAGATAAAAAAATTATTATTTAAAAGATACCATGTATAATAGTATTAAAATTTAAATTATAAATACTTAAAAATTAAATTTTAATGATTGATTTTAATTAAGGAATTTAACATATAAAAGTAACAAAACTTAATCCATCATGAATTATATAGTATGTGGGTCCATTCTAACCCCTTTTTTTATAGGTTAGAGCCATGATTCGCTGACCCATTTTTTTAACCCCTACCTAAAGGATGTAAACATGTTTGAAACTAAAATCAATTCAATGGTAAGATACTTCTAGACCTAAAAATAAATCCCCCTTTACACCATTGAAAGTCCACAAATTATTTTAAGGAATTTGTGTTTTTATTGGACATATTTAGACAAACTTCCGAATAAGAATTTCTATAATAAAAAAAACATGAGTTTCTAAAATAAATTAAAATTAACTTATATAGATAAGCTAATTAGTAGAAGTTATTTCATATTATTTAAAAAAAATTATAAATTTTAGATCTTTTAAAATAATTTCTCATTATCCTAATTATACTTAACCTTTAATTTTTAATGATTTTGGTGATTTTAAAAGGAAAATTAACAGGATATTAGAATATTTTTCTCTTTCTTTGTAAAGAGATAGGAAAAGTAACTTTATTATCATTTTAAATTAAAATCCATTTTAAAGGTAAGGAAGCTAAAAAATCAATTCATAAATTATCTTCATGAATTTGTCTTTTTTATTGAACATGTCAACAAACTTCTTCATAAGAATTTTTAGAAGAAAAAATTATACGAGTTTTAAAAAAATTATAGATAAGCTATTTTGTAGAAGCTATTTCATTTTAATTCTCTAAAAGAAATTAACTTATAAAAAATCGCATTTTAATTTTTTCTTTTTATATTTCTACTCTATAAGTTTTTACAAAAAATTTCTTATTATCCTAATTGTATTTGGTCTTGATTTTTTAAAAACCTTGGTCTTTTTAAAAGGAATATTAAGATGTTGGAGCATTTTCTCTTTTTTATAAAGGGACAAGAAGAGTAACTTCGTGGTCATTAAAAATTAATTAATTTAAATATAAGATATTTCGAAGTATAAAAATCAATCTTCCCTTACATCATTGAAAGTTCACAAATTATCTTAAAATTTTTGTCTTTTTTATTGAAAAAAATAATGAGTTTCTAAAAAAATAAAATTAAAATAATTTGTATAAGCTATTTCATATTACTTCTCTAAAAAAAGATTTCCCATGGGAGGGAGAACCATCCCAAAAAAAGAAAAAGATTTAAACATGGAGAAGTTAAAATATAGAAGAAAAGAAAACCTATGAGTATAGTAGTATAGAAGTAAGAAATACTTGAATTCTAACTCATTCTATTCATACACTTCCACTTCCTAAGCTAACTTAATCATCAAAATCATTTTATAGGTATATCTAGTATAAAGGTAAAAAAACCATTTAAACATTAATTCACTTTACTCCTACATTTCTAATTCCGAAACTAACTTGATAATTGAAATCCCTAATATAAATAAATCGTGTCAATTCTTTAACAACATTAATACTTTAACTCAATAAAAAATACCATTCATTTAGAAAAACTCAACAATAAAACAAAATTAACAATATATAATATATAATAAACGTTTCATCCGAAATGGTAAAACATTGTTATGGTTCTGATTATTAGTATTTAAGAATATATTACTAAGTCTTGTTTATTGCTATTTCATATGGGTTATTAATAATGCTATATAATATGGAGACACTCTTATTTTTTAAATGAAATAGGAATATTTATTGTAGAATTGAAGATAAAATTTGTTTCATTTCTATTTTTAAATTTTTTAAAAATCAAATTTTATGATAATATATATATGTATATATATTTTAACATGTTAGAAAAATCTTTTAAAAATAAATTTATCATAGATAATATTTTATATAGAATTAATAAATTTATCATAGATAATATTTTATATATAATAATAAATTCTAATGGTAGTATTGCTCACCACGTTCTCTTGTACAAATTATGCATTCTAATAAATTCAAATTAAAATCTTATATATTCTCTTATGCATAAAAACAATTACTGTATTTAGGGATAACAATTAAAGTTGTACATGTGAGAATTGACCCATTCCTATTCTGAATTTAATAGGAAAAAATTGAGTTAACCGAGAAGCGGGACGAGTTCATATTTTTTCGCTCTAAAAAGTCGAGGACGGGGATGGATAATGCAATCCCCACCCGATCCCGACCACTGACCCCGTCCTTACTTCGACTTTATATTTAAATTTTAAAATATTAATATTTTAAAAGTATTTCCTTTTCTTTTTCTATTATATATAAGGTCATTTTTTTATATTTTACCGTTTTTACTTTTCTTATGTTCATTTTTAATTTTTTTTTTGTCTTTTTTAATCTTTTATATTAATTAATTTATTAGATTATTTTCTTTCTTACCTTTCGAGTTTTTTAGATTTCTTTAATCTCCCTAATCAATTTATTTTTTTTTAATATTTTTAACCAATTTGATGAACACAAAGTTAATTTTTTTTCAAATTTATCTTTTTCTATATATGTTACATAAATCTATCTTAGTAGTAAATAATATCATTTTATTTATAATTTATATTTAATAAGTTTTATTATATCATATTTTTTTATCTTATTATTCCTAGTATCCTATATCAAATTTTATCTTAATAAAATAATTATATTTTAAAAAATTAAAAATAATTAATAATTTAAATTTTTATTACTTCGAACTTATTAAATAAAAATGAATTTATTAAATATTTTCTTATAAATTATATATTTTATATTTTTAAATAAGAATTTAAAAAAAATAAACTTATGTATGTAATCAAATTTTAAATAATAATAATAATATAATTATTCTTTGAATATCGTATTATAATAATAATATTATAAATTATATATATAAATAAAAAATATTAAATATTTTTTATATACATATTTTAATATAAATATAATAAATTAAAATATATATTTAATTAATAATAATTATAAATTTAAAATTATAAATAATTATTTATATATTAAAAAAATATATAATAAAATTAATTTATTATAAATATAATTATTTTTAAAAAAATAATATAAATAAGAGATAGAAATAAACAAAAAACCTAAAATCTAACAAAATCGAAAGCGGGAATCGAGGCAAAACCTGTCTCCACCGTCGAGATGTCTCGTATTCGTTAATTTATAATTAAAAATAAAATATCTTTACGTGGAAAATGACACTAGTATTGTATTTAATATTAATATTTAAATGCATTTTAAAATTTAATTAAATTGAATATTTATTTTTGGTGTTAGAGAGTATTTAACATATTTCATACATAGTTGTTTACTTAAAAAAACTTAAAAAAGTGTTAATTAAAAGAACAGAGAGATATCATGCAAAAAGAAATCCTGTTCTGTCCGAAGGCCAGAGACCAACCAAAACCGGATGGCAGCAGCGTCACTCTCCACCGCCACACCCGGCGTCCCTCCTTTCCGTCTACCCACCTCCACCCGTCGAACCGCCTCAACACGGGTCCAAGCTTCTCCCCGAGCCGACCCGGAATCCCCTTCTCCTCCTTCTTCCACGGCGCTGACGGTGATGGACGACCGGACGCGGCGAATAGCGAGAGAGTTGGAGGAGCAGAGGAAGCGGGAAGCGAAGGAGCGGAGGGAATTGAGAGACAGAAAGATAGCGTCGCAGAAAGCGGTTTCGGTGATTCTGTGGAGAGAGGCCGCGAAGGCCGTGATTGATAAGAGTGGTAGGAAGAAGAAGGGTCCCATCAACTCCAAAAAGCTTCTTCCCAGAACTGTCCTCGAAGCACTCCACGAACGAGTCGCGGCTCTGCGCTGGGAGTCCGCTCTCAAGGTTTATCAACTGTCTTCGCTTCTTTTGTTCGATGGTGTTCTGTTGGGTTGTTCTGAATCAGAGACTATTTTGTTATTAAGCTATAACATTAGGGATCAATATGAACTTTTCACACAATAAGAAACTAAATTAGATTATTCATTTTTTTCGAAGACTAAATTTACAACACCTCACACATTCCATTACTGAATTGGCAACGCCTCACACATTCAACGATGCTGGTTACAGTGCAAATTAGTCTCTGCATATATGAATTAAATGTATTTTAATAATAACATGTAGGTAATAAAGTGCATTTTAGTTATAATAGATTTAATGTGCCCCTCTTGACTAGCTCCATCCATCATATTCTCAGCACTCCCATGCTTCCCTCATCACCCATTTCTCGACAATGTTCTAATCCTTACATGGCGTGTGCTCTGTTTAAGTGTTGACAAACATTTAGAAAACAGAAATGTGTTTAGAAGCAAAGACTCTCAATTGTGTTTAATTTTTAGAAAATAGAGAACTTGTTTTCGAAACAGTAAACAAACAAAGACTTAGTATTGGATTGTGTGCCAACTTAGGGAAGAGAACACAAACCTCTTTTTTTTTTTTTTAGGTCAAGGACCGAGATTCTGTTATTATGTCCATTAAATATCTTCATTCTCACTATCTAAGATTTATGGTGATAGATCATAATTTTGGATGAGATTTTTGGAATTACACTCCTAAAAGAAGATGGCGCCATGACCGAACTGTTGGATCGGTCACACGACGAGGTCATTTATTTGGACACCACACTTTAATTATAATTAAATTTTGGTTAACTTTTGAGTTAGTAGTTCATTAAATGGGTGTGAAGAGGAAAACAAGTGAGACTGGTTCATAAGAAGGTATAACTGTGATGGATGAAACAAGATGTTTGTTTGCCAAACAATGTAAATATAGGAAAAAGTAGAGTTATGCTTAAAAGAACAAAAAATAGCAAATGAACATGGAAAATAGGAGAAAAGCATAGATTTCCACTCTTTTCCTAGGACTAAACCTTGCTGAGTTTCAGTCACAAATTCAATGTACTCCGCACCCATTGACTTTCATGGGTTTCCATCATAGATTTAAAGGTCCATCTTGCTCCCTGCGTAATTTCCCCGTTTCCCATGGTTACCTGGCTCTTTTCTCCAATTTTCTACTGCCTCTTGTGAATTTGGTAGACCAAACTCTAACAAACTTTTCCCATGCATTCTCATACCCACCATTTTTGTCTATGCTTCTGATGTTTGTCTGCTAAATTAAAATTGGCCATCCATCAAATGCAGCAATGACTACCCATCAAATTTCTGTTAAAATACTGGGGCAGGAAAAATACCTACAAACACATGAAGTGTTTATCTCTTGTTTAAAATCTTAGTAGATAAAAATACCCAGTCAGAAAGCTTTGGCCATAATAATTTTTGGTTTAATTGAATGTTGGTTAGCTTTTGGACAAGTAGAACATTGCACAGATGTAAATTGAGTTAAAGTTATTTATTGAAAAAGTCATTCATTAATCGTGTAATTTAACGTAGAGATGTACAAAAAAAAAAAAGAATCAGACATATTTTGGTGTCAAGTATAGAACATGGTTAATGTGTTCATTGGGATACGCCTAGCAAATTTATATCCTGCTATTTGTTTTCTCTCATCCTCCGTATCATTTATTTTATTAACGAGCTGAAGAGTATCTTAATTCCCTGCTCTCTCTCTGCCTCTTTCTATATATTTTATTTTATTCCTCTACCTATATATAGAGAGATAGAGAAAGAGAAGCAAAGTGAGTAAGTGCAAATACTTATTTGGGTCCTGTTCAGGACATATGAAATGTTGAAGGAAGAAAGTAAAAGCACAGAGGAGCATATTTGCGTTAGGGATCTAGAAGATAAGTTGAGAAATTTGGTATCATAATAAGGAAGAGTTAAGTTAATGGAGGAAGTCTTACTTATGGAATTGCTGTTGTTCAAGGATTTCATATACTGAGAAAAGTTCGATTGTATGTTCTCATATTTAACACGATTTTCAAAACTATGGTTGAAATGTTTTTGTATTACTCTATCACACACACTATGGTGGAACTATCTTTTTATAGGAAGACTTCGTAATAATATTAAAGGATAGTCTCGTGGTTTCAGGTTTTTGAACTACTGCGTGAACAGATCTGGTACAGACCTAACACTGGTATATACATCAAGTTAATAGTGTTGCTTGGAAAATGTAAGCAACCTAAGAAAGCTCATGAACTCTTTCAAGCTATGGTTGATGAAGGTTGTATTTTGGACCGTGAATCATACACTGCGTTGTTATCTGCCTACAGTAGGAGTGGTCTCTTGGACCAAGCTTTCACAATTCTTGAGGAAATGAAGAATACACCTGGTTGTCAACCAGATGTACAGACTTACTCAATCCTAATAAAATCTTGCTTACAGGTTTTTGCCTTTGACAAAGTTCAGAGTCTTTTATCTGACATGGGCAATCATGGAATCAAACCCAACACAGTTACCTACAATACCCTTATTGATGCTTACGGGAAGGCAAGAAAGTAAGGTTTTGTCTGTCTTTACCTTTTGAAAGTAATACATCAAAAATCTGGTCGCCAACAGAAATTGGAAAAATAATTAAATTGAATACCTACTTTTCCATCATACTCTGGAATTTAGATACAATATAAACAGTTGAGAGACCCGAGGTTCAATCTTTTTTAAGGTAAAGATAGTCAGATTAATGGCAGCCATAGCCTTTATGATTGCCATAAATAAGCTGTTTCACATTGTGTATTTTGTTGGGTACAAATGCACCATCATCCATTCCTGGATCATCCTGCCATTCCCTTCCAAGTAAAATTGAGTTATAGAAGTTGTTCCATTTCTATTTGGTTGTTAAGCTTGTATTTTAATCTTTTAGCAACCAGCTGCAGCATCTTTTAATATCACATTTGCATATCTGTAATATAATTATCTTTTTCCTTGAAGGTTTTCAGAAATGGAATCTATACTTGTGGAAATGCTTGCTGACCGGTATTGCCAACCCGATGCATGGACGATGAATTCAACACTAAGGGCATTTGGCAACATTGGACAAATTGAAACAATGGAGAAGTGTTATGAGAAGTTCCAAACTGCTGGAATCCAACCTAATGTTCAGACCTTCAACATTCTCTTGGATTCCTATGGCAAGGCTAAGGAATACAAGAAAATGAGTGCTGTGATGGAATACATGCAGAAATACCATTACTCTTGGACCATTGTGACCTTCAATATTGTAATTGATGCTTTTGGGAAGGCTGGGGATCTCAAACAGATGGAGTACTTGTTTAGACTAATGCGTTCAGAGAGAATAAAACCTAGTTGCGTTACACTTTGCTCACTTGTGAGGGCTTATGCACATGCAGGTAAACCTGAAAAAATTGGTGGTGTCCTGCGTTTTGTTGAGAATTCAGATGTATTACTAGACACTGTATTCTTTAATTGCTTGGTGGATGCTTATGGGAGGTTAGGGTGTTTGGCTGAGATGAAAGGGGTGCTTGAGATGATGAACCAGAAAGGTTGTAAACCGGATATTATTACTTATAGAACCATGATTAAAGCTTATTCATTTAAAGGCATGGATGGCCATGCTAAGGAACTCAGAGAGCTCCTTCCAACAGTGACTAGGCCTTCACTGAAAAGGTATAAGCCTGACTTTTGATAAAAGAAATCTAATGATATTTTTGCTCCAATTTGCTTGGTTCCCAATGATCATTTTACTTGTGCATGCTTGCAATATGTCTTCTACTTTAGAGCGGGTTGTTTCCAAACTTTTCATCTTTTAGATGGAGATAGATATTAGCAACACATTTTTTAATATATATATATATAACATAAAGTGTTATGTTTAGACCTAAAAATGTTCTTATACTCAAATAAATTATTGTTAAAGTGTTCAAGCAAAAATATGAGTCTATGTCCACCCATATCCGCACATAAAAGGCAAATCTAGACTTAGAGCAGTCACAACTATAATGCAATCCATGAGGAGGAAACTACACAAAAATGAGGTAAAGAGTTAATAGTCAAAGAACCTTTACTATTAGACCCCTATGAAGACACATCATGTATGTTTTAATGAGAATCCTCCTCTAGATCCTCCTTATCATCAGTCTCAATGTTGTAAAACTGACTAATTCTAGGAACTACTCGAAGAACTAGAATAGATACAGGGAATCCAAAGAGAAGAACGGTTCCGAGAAACGTGTCTTCAGAAGAATTGCAATGAATATCCCAAAAACTATATATTTTTATGCAACAGCAATAGTTGCATTTATAACCCACTAACTCAACTGTTTACCAACAACTTATTGAAAACATATTTCATAACATTTCCCTCCCCTGACGACATCTTTGTCCTCAAGGATAAAAACCTGTCTATAAGGATGAAATTTTATGCAATCAAAATCATCAATCTGAAATCGTCTGTCACTCTTATGTGTGTCAACCACTTGCTTCATCCTTTCTTGCGCTCTTTACAAATGGAACTTGATGAGTTTTAGCATCCTTTCTGTCTTGGTTAGACTCCTATCTACTAATTCCACTTTAGACTCCCCCGGATTGTAAGGAAGGGGGATTGGAGTTGGGTTGCCCATACATGATCTCATATGGAGTGGGCTTAGTTGTAGTATTATAGTAAGAAGTATGATACCACCACTCAATTAGAGATAGCCACCTTGACCACAGGTGTGGAGCATCCAGCACACATACATCTTAGATATGTCTCAAGGTACCTATTTACCACTTCCAGCCATCGGTCTAAGGATGATGGCTGGATGATACCTGCACTTGAACCCCTCCAAAGACCATACAATTAACTTTAATGCCTTATACACTTCAGCAGGATCCCTACTACTTCAACCACCCTATCGTCTTGAAGAGCAAAAATTGGGAGGTCTTCTGCTCCAAGAACTCTAACAATACAATTGGATAATTCTTGGATAGATTTTACAGTTCCTCCTTACTTTTCAATTAAACATCCTGCTTGTGAGTCTGTCAGTAAAAGCTTTGTAGAAACTTGGTCGGCCACACCTAAAGGAAGGAGCGTGGGTAAATTCACTCTCCAAACCCTCAATAATCCTCTTATGAACCCTCAATAAAGCCATCCATGGCAGAAGGAAGAGAGGAATCAATTTCATCTTTACATGATATCATTATAGCCCTTTGCGCAGTTCCAAGAGGACCATCAAGAATTTTAACTTGAGCTCAAGTCTCCTTCACAATTTTCTTAATAAACTCTCCTTTACGTCCCATTATGCCCCCTACCTTCTAGGTAGGAACTAACATCTAACAACATCTCTTCACTACCGTGTACTCAACAGTTTTCTCTGCCTCATGCTCACCGTCGGTGTTTTGATCCACTTCAGCCATCAAGGTTTTCACAGAAAAACGGGCAAAATTGATTCTTGTCAATCTTGTTCTGCAAGAATATGATGAAGAAGGAGGACGAGTGCCTCTTAAACCCACCCCTCCATGTGATCCTCCTACATCATTATCGCTCTGCTGCAACAGTTTTTGAACTTGATCTTTTAAGAGACTCAACAAGTGTCTTTTGAATAGACCCTACAAGCTCCGTCAATCTAGATTCTAACCTCAAACACAACGGTTCTATCATCTCCTTGATGGCCACTACGTTACGAGTAGCTTCCGCAATTGATACAATACTCTGAACAGATCACCCTAGTTGATACCAATTGTTGTAAAACTAACCAGTTCTAGAAAATACTAGAAGAACTAGAAGAGGGAATCCGAAGAGAAGAAAGGTTGTGAGAAATATGTATTCAAAAGAAGGAAGAATTACAGTGAATATTCCCAAAAACTATATTTTCATGCAACAACAATAGTAGCATTTATAACCCAGTAACTCAACTATTTACCAACAACTTATTAAAAACATATTTCAAAACACTCAACTAGCCACCTTTGACTTTTTGGGGAAACTCTTTATCCTTTGTCGCCTCATCGTTAGGTGTTTGATGACTCCATAGGTCTCTCCTCATAATTCTCCTAAAAAAATCCTCCTTTTCCTTTCCTTTTAAGTCTGCTACTAGTGGTATCTTTCTCTAGAGAAAGCCTTAGTCGAAGTCAAGGAATAAGATCCATGCACTTTATCAGCATCCATTGTTAATAAGATTACCTAAATTGGTTTCAACTGAACACTCAAACTTACAATGATTATTACAAATTTATAATTTGAATTTTACGATATTATATTTTATGATGAGATCGAACATAAAAATATGTATGTATAATATATATATATATATATATATATATATATATATATATATATATAGAGAGAGAGAGAGAGAGAGAGAGAGATTTAGATGTTTTATTACTTTATAAATCATCTCGACTCAAGTTACTTAATGGTTCATTCTCTGGGAATTACCTTATTATGAACCTCTCTCCCAATGGGTTTAGGAGGAATGGAGGTTGTCTTTGGAAATGAAGGGAGAGAAGAAAATAGAATAAATATAAGATATCATGATAGGAAACATAATTAGTAAATCTTTCATATTAGTTTGACTTCTAATTCAACTTAAAAATCATTTTCATAGCATGTATCTTCAATTCATCGATCCACTAATGTTAGTTTTTCCCTTAGAAGGGAAAATATCAAGAAAGAAAAATAGCTTTGATGAAATCGATGTAAGAGATGACGAAAATGAAAACATCTTCTTATTTTCTTTAATTTTCATTTTCATTTTCTAAAAGGTGTGAAATACCATCGTGAATAGATCCTTGAGTCATTGCCACCATGCTCCATTTTATCTTTCTCGCTTTTAAAATGTTCACTTTTACACTCATGAACATTGACAAGACTAATGAATCCATGAAAATATTTGTTACCTACTAATTTTATACTTAATATGTTAAGTATATATCAAAGTAGGAGCTAAAATGTTATTTTAAATTACATAAATATACATGTGAGATATACTAAGATACACAATTGTGAATTCTTCAAATAAATATAAAAAATGTTTATTTATATTCCTTATCACAAATCCTTCTACAAACCACTTTGTCTCAAATTACCTTATCACCGAGTCATCATTTGTAAACCAAGCCCAAACCATCGTTTAGTCATTAAAGGTGAATCAATGTAATGATATGAAGTAGAAGATGGCAAGAATAAATAATGATGAGAAGAGAAATGGAAGGTATTTTGGAAGAAAAGGAAAAATAAAATTCATAATTTGAAGTTGTGAGAAAAAACGAAAATTCAATGAGTGAAACTATCTTGTTGCTCACTCTAATAAAACTTAGTTCAAGTTAAAATATATTTTTTGCTCATTGTAATAAAACTTAGTTCAAGTTAAAATATAATTTTAGTAGCATTATATGTATCACATTCATCAACTATTTTTTTCTTAATGAGTGATAGATTTTCTTTCAAAACTTACCAGAAAAAAAATTAGTTATAAAGGTTTTTGTTGTGTGAATAAACTTATAAAATTATTCAAAAAATCATCTGTATTCTTAAAGTTTTCATGTACTTTACCAGTATCAATGGTTAAATAGATCTATCTAAATTAGTTATGTTCTTGATTATTTAGAATTGGGTAATCAGACATTCAAAATTATGATGATTATTATAAATTTATGATTTGAATTTTATGACATTAATTTTTACAATGGAATCAAACCCAATGTTGACTTAGATGTCTCATGAATTTGTTGGCAATCCCTTTGCAAACCAACCCCCCTCAACTTGTGTATGTAATGTTTTATCCTTTATGAATACTTCATTGTGAAGATCCTCGAAACATTTTATATATAAAAAAGAAGAAGATAAATATAATAAGTTTGAGATATATAATTTTAAAAAAAATTAACGACTATAAGGATATCTCTCATCTCATGAAATATAATAAGATTCTTTGTTTTAGTTAGACACCTAATTCAAGTTAAAAACAATTTTTGTAACATATATCTTGTACTCTTATTTATTATAATAATACTAAGGATCTCACGTAACATATAAAACTAATTAAAATTATTTGAAATTTAATAAGTATTTAAACTATATTATATTACATGATAGATGATAAAACAAGTTAATTTGTTCTATTTTGACCTGTTTTATCTTTAATTTATAAAAAAATATGTAAGATGGACGGATCGACCCACCATAATTAAAACGGATTACATGTCAGAATAAATTAGTGAACTATCTCGTCAAAAAAAAAAAATAAAAAAAAAATATATATATATATATATAAATTTTTGTATATTTATTTTTTTAATACATCTTTAATTATGTAAATAATTTTTAAGTTTTTATTCATTAGTTAATATTTTTATTAGATAAATTAAAAAAATTACAATATTATGTATTAATATATTTAATTATAATTAGTAAATTAAGTTTAATTGGTTGATATATATATATATATATATATAATTTAAATTATAATATTATTATTTAGATATTTTAATAATATAATATAAAAACATAATATTTTTAATTATAATTTTTATTATTTTAATATATATATATATATATATATATTTTAAAAATTGATTAAAAATAACAATTGAAAAAAAGTTAGTTTTAATTTTATATCATATTAAAATTTTTAATGATAACATTTGAAATAATCTATTTAATATACTATTACATAACATGACTGAGACCTGCAACAAATAATGTTAACTCTTTCCATAATTTTTTTAATATAAAACATTGGCAATAGATTAATATAAAAAAAATAATAATCAAACTATGAAATCACCACTTCTCTCAAGTTGTCTTTTATTTTTTATTTTTTTTTCCCGTTTCTGAAACCTTACTCTTACATCCACCTTAAGTTTGGTAATAAAAAAATTTGCAGAAAAAGGTGACACGGATAAAATGTAAGAACTATACTTCAAATAGCACACTTTAATTATTATTTTTTATATCAAATTATTTTAAAAAACATTTCAAATATAAAATATTTTTAGATGTAGTAAGTAAGCATATTTTCATCTTTTAATATCTCTTTACGACAGTTATTTTTTTAGTTCATAATCAAACAAAGACGTAGAAAATATAAAAACAGTTTAAATTTGATTAAAATACAGTAAGTATGATTTTTATTATTAGTTAATAACATATCAACAACACTAGACTCTAATAATACTAGAACTAATTTAAAGAAAGGAAAAAAAAAAAAAAGATAATGTAGTTTTGCGTATCACATCGTCGTCGTCATTGCAATAAAACCAAACTTAATCAAAATGAAAATCTTTGTCTAAGTTGACAATATCAGAAGCAAGATTAGAAGAACTAAACCAAATTAATTAGACCTATTTTGATTCTGAATCACACAAACTTCTGATGAAAAGAAAGAATGCATAATAAAAAGCCCAAAATGAACGTCCATTTTCTCACAAGCCCTCTCCTCTGTGCGTGGTCGTGTTCATGCCCCAAAGCCCACAACACTCCACCAGAGGTTGCATAGTCCCTCTTTCTCTCTCTCACCTCGCAACATCACCAACGACAACGCCCAACACCAAAACGACCCTTCTCTTTCTTCAAGTTCTGGAGAGAGAAACTCAACGCAACCCCAATTGCTCCACCCACACAAACACACACTACCTCGCCGAGGGAACAAAGCAAAACAAAACCTTCTTCCATGGCTCTCACATTCGTTGCCGTACGCGTTAGGTTTTAGGGCAAATTCGCCATCGTTGCCCCTCTGAGACAAGGGACCCTAATTTCCAAAACCCTAGGAGAGAGGAATTTCGACTCGGGCCGCGCCTGAATTGTGCCCTAGGTTCCCATTTCCGTGCTCAGGTGCTTTTTCTCGCCCTAATTGTTGTTTTATTGGCGTCGAAACCCTAGAATTGTGAAATTGGGGAAATTGCCGGAAATGGTCGAGGTTAGGGTTTCGAATGTTTGGGTGAATTGTGCAGCGCTGTGTGTGCTATGCATTGTGTTGGAATGGAATGACTTTGTGCCTCGAGTTTGTGTCTGCTAATGGGGTGCTGCATTGTTGTGTTGCAAAACTTGGGAGTTTTTTTTTTAAACACTTACCGGTAAGAAAATTAGAATGCTGGTGTTTAAGTGGGGAGCTAGTAATTTGAAGTATAAATGTGGGGTTAGTGGTGACAGTTTAAAATTTGCAGGGAATCATTGGTGTCAACCTTTTCATGTATGTAATGGTTGCTGAATATAAGTGTTAATAGCTGTAGGTATCATTACCGTAATTTTTAGTCTTTTCCTATTAGATTATTAGTTGGTATCTCTCTAAATGGACGCGTGTGTGCTGTTAGAGGGCTTCTAATGTCTGGTCGCAAATTTCCTGTCCTGTACAGACATATTAAGCTTGTGAGGTTGCCTTATACTTTCAAAACCTGGACGTTGTTCTGGCTTTTCCTACAATCTGTTGAGTTTCTTATATGTTTTTCTTATCTTTTAAACCATTGATATAATTGGGTGACTTATGGTTGGATAGTAGCATGCATCTCAAAATGTTTTGGGAGATTGGGTTATAAGGTGATTTTTTTGCTCAGTAAATGGTTTATATCATTGTTTTCCACTTCGGTTACATCTTCTTTTGAAAGTAATATTTATATGTGGCTTATGTGGAATGATTATCATTTATCAATTATTAGTTGTCCACTCAGTGAAAGAAGTGTTTGTATGTGGCATATGTGGAATGATTATCATTAATCAATTGCAATGGAAATGAAAAAATATATTTGATTGATAATGTACATGAGCAATTAGTATTTAGTACCTATACATTTTATCCCAGCTTTGAAATGTTAATATGGTGCATGGTACTTATCATTCAATGAATGTGTTGGATTGGTACCAAATGTATAACACTTTAAATGGTAATCCAGTGCATGAGATTCTATCCACAAAATGCTCTCGTCACACAATTTTCTGCTTGCACTTTTTGTTCTTATTTTGGTTCATTATTTGTTTTATTTATTTATTTATTATTATTATTATTATTTGTATCATTATTATCATTATTGTTATTATTATTATTATTATTATTATTTGTATCATTATTATCATTATTATTATTATTATTATTATTATTATTATTATTATTATTATTATTATTATTATTCACTAAATGCAGTACTGAGTTCCTGAGAGGTTATCTATATATTGTTTGGAAATATAAACATGTTTCCTCATATAGATAATTTAATAACCTACCATTGTTTCCTGCACTTATTACCTCTTTTTTTATATAATAAGTATGGAATATTGCAACCCTTGTTTGCAAGGTGGGCATATGATCATCTTGAATTGAGATGGTTAACTTTTTTTAGAAAACTGTCTATGATATTGACCATTCAAATTATTTTATAATCAAAATTGATCATAAACTCAATTGGAAGGAAAAACTTGAGCAGTCTACGTACAAACTGCATGACATGCAATATTTGGAATTCGGGAGATCCAAGTTCTGAATCCTATTTTAGCAGACTTGTGTAGAGTAGAATCACATTTTTGATTTGGGAGAATATTTTTAATATAGTGACAAATTCTTGCTGAAAAGAGTTCACTTATGTAAACTTATTATTTTGAATTACATTTCTATACACACACCCCATGAAATTACAGCCTGAGCATCAAATATTGTTTAATTGTTAACGTATCTAATCGTTGGTCAGTGAGGAAATTTCTAGGCCTTAGTGTTTGCTCTTTACTTGGATTTACATTTTAATTTTACCCCTTTTCTATAAATTGGCAGATTCTTTGATAAATGGAAAGTCACACTCTTAGATATTAAGAGTGGGATGCATGGATGTAACGCAGGACCTGTCTTCCTTGTAAATGCTGAGGTTGATTCCATGGGAGGTGTTGTTGATGGCGGAGTGGGTATAGGTTTGAAAACCTCTCCGCGCCGAGTAGCAATTGAGAAGGCTCAAGCAGAGCTCAGGTAAAGGGAAACCTGTTTCTGTACTTGCATTATTTTTTTGATAGTATTTTTTGAGTGCCAATATAGTCATATGCATGAAGAATAACTCATGCATGTTGATACAGACTGGAATATGATGTTCGTGAAGAAAGAAGAAGGGAACTAGAATTTCTTGAAAAAGTATGAAGATTTGTTCTTTTACAATCTTGTATTAGTCAATTTTCAATTTAAATGGTGACCAGCTCAACTGACTTTGTAATTGCAGGGAGGGAATCCTTTGGACTTTAAATTAGGGAATGCTGCTTCAGTTAGTGTTCAGTCTACTTCACTCACTGATCAGCATCAAGAGCAGTTTGTGACCAGGTTGGCTATTATTTTTTTTTTCCTTGGTATTGTCACCACTTTGTGTAAGTTGTTTGTGCATTAATTTGCTTAATAATGCCCTATCACTCCTTTCTCTTCTCTTCCCTTCGAATATGATTCAGTGAAGCTAAAGGTAGTTTTGTATCAACTGCCTCCCCTCATGGTGACTCTGTTGACAGTAGCGCTAGACCTGGGGTCCCTTCTCTTAGTGAACCAAATACTGCTGATAACCTCTTACTTTTTGATGGTGAGAATGAGTTGCCTGAAGGAGAAAAGAGGTCTCTACATTCAAATAAAAGGAATAATGTTGCTCCTTCAGAACAGTCTTCGCGAATTGGGGGGAGTCAAAATGCAAAGGAGACCGAAGATTCTGCTATTTTCCGGCCATATGCACGAAGGAACAGGTCCAAACCAAATCATGGTCCTCGTGGGGCTTCAAGGGATGGAAAGGGAATGTTATCTGATACAAACAAACAGAAGGACCACAATGTGCTTTCTGTTTCTAAACGAAAGCCTACAAGTTTAAATGGCGAGGTACTTTCTAAAGATCTGAAAGATCCGACATCTAATAAATCACTGGATAATGACTTGGTTAGTGTCCAAGCTCCTCAAACAGCTAGTGGCAGTGCTAGTGTTCCTGAGGACAAATTGAATAGTGTTGTGAATAAAAACTTCAAGGAAGATCAACGAATTATACCTTCTCAAGATGATGTTGTACAAAATCCAGTTGTCTTGGCTTCTGGAGAAGCCAAAGCTGTTGGAGAAAAGGACCTGGGAAGTTCTAGTCATCCTGAGCCTCAACCTTGTGCAACTACTAAACAACCTGGAAATGAATCTTGTTCTGGTCAGCCAAATGGGTTTGGCAACATAAAATTAGACCAGAAAGGTGTACCAAATGGAGACCAAAATTGCAGTGCTGAATTAGGCATGAAGAATTTTGATTCGGAGTCCTCCTGTGCTCAAACTAGTTTAGCTAGAGATGTAAATAATAATAATAACATGTGTAGTAATTCTAAGAAATTTGATGCAAATGGAAATACTATGGAACAGACATCAGAATTTGAGAAGAAGCTGAATGTAACTGGCTGTGGAGTTGTAAAAGAAAGGAGTAATACCAATACTGGTGAAAATGGTGCTACTTCTAACACTGAACATGCTATTGCATGTGAAAACCATTCTGGTAGTGATAATATAGTCAAAAGTGAGAAAGACAACCATACTAATGGTTCTTGCATACAGAACAAGGTGAAAGATTCTGCCAATATTCAAGGACTGCATCACAATAAAAGTTGTGTATCAAATGCTGATAAAGAGGAAAGTGGTTCCCTGAAGATGGACCATCATAATTGTATCAGGGAAGACAGCTGTGAAAGACTTAAAGTTCCTTCAGATGTGTCAATTTCAACAACTCAAACTGCTTCGGTTGAAAAAGTTACTACTACTGCCTCTGAATGTCAACCATGTACTACGCACAGCTTGAAGTTACCTGACAAGGCTCATGAAGATTCTATTTTGGAAGAGGCTAAGAGTATAGAGGTTTTAACTTTTTGTTTCATTTCTTTTGATTATTGTTCTAGTTAATTTTGTTGGTTTGTCAACTTAAACTTCTGACATCATGTCTTAACTCAGGTCAAGCGCAAGAGGATTGCAGAGTTATCTGTGCGCCCATTGCCATCGCAGATCCATAGAAGGACTCAGTGGGGTTTTGTCCTTGAGGAAATGACATGGTTGGCGAATGATTTTGCACAGGTTTCATTCTCTTGACCTACATGCAATTCTCTGCCCTTTTATCATTCCAAGTATTTGAAGAATATGGATCCTTGTTATATCTAATTGATAATTGAGTTTTAGTACATCTTTTTATCCCACTAATATGTGTTTGTAGGAGCGTCTTTGGAAGATAACTGCTGCTGCACAATTGTCTCAACAGGCATCTTTTACTTCTCGGTTAAGATTTGAAAAACAAAGCAAACATCTTGGGGTGAAAATTTTGTCTCACAACATGGCAAAGGCTGTCATGCAGTTCTGGAATTCGATTGAGCTCCTTCTAGACAACGATAATCGCAACTGTGTTGATGCTTCAGTTGATTCTGGGGACGGTGATTCAAATGAAGTATCTAGGGACAAGAGGAGCAATTCCGAGATGGTGCTGGTTATTTACTTTTGTCCTTTTACTATCCCACTCTTAAAAAAGTGATTCTTTTTGGCTGGCCTTTAGATGGGTTGGTGTTATGATAGGACTAAACGTCTATAGAAAAGCAAATTCATTTAGCTGGTTGCTATACAGGGAAAATCCCTTATAGAGTAATATGATGCCACAACAAACTATTCAATTGTTTGCATTTTAGAGTAAAATAATGCTACAACAAGCTATTCAATTGTTTGCATGTATTTTGATTTTAGAAATGTAATGTGATCATGTACACTTGAAATAGCAACATATATGTTATGCTTTGTGGAATCTTGAATCCTAGTGCTTGTATATAAAAATGGTTTTGATGGTGTGATTGCTTGAGTTCCGGTGTATTGTTGATTTGTTTTATGTATCAGCTGTTGTGCTGGATGAACTTTATTATGCTTGATTTGACTAGGTATTCTTATTATTTCTTTGAAAGACTAAATTTCTCAATACATTTTGTTTTCTTATTATTTACATTACCAAAATATTTAAGCCCTACTTTAAAATTTGGTTTGAGAATTTTCATTACATATACATTGGTTTAGTAGTTTTGATTATAATATTCTTTTTCTTTTCAATTTGGTTAGGTCATTGTTGTCATCCTTGCTAATTTATGTTTGATTGGTGTTCTTTTTTCGTACATTATTTAGATTTAGATGCATGAGTCATAATTGCATGATTTGAATGTTTATGTTATGATTGGAGTTTTGAGATACATCTGAGTTTTCCCTTATTGTTGTCAGGTTTAGGTTTCTATATTAATTGTTTTAAATATTTGTTACTGATGCTTGAAATTGGTGGTTTTGGTCAGGAGAAAAGCAAATACTTGCATGGACAATACCTCACTAATCAAGTAGCACATCAGGTGCATAGTTATGCTTTGAGATTTTTAAAGGACAGTCGATTGCGTGGAAATTCCACTCAAGCAGAAGCACCAACAACACCTGATAAATTATCGGACTTGGGCATTGTTGACATGTCATGGGATGACCATCTTACTGAAGTATGGGCCAAGTTACCTTGTTCTATCTGATTAGCTTATTAATTTGTATGATAGTGACCTTTCTCTTGTTTATTTTCACTGTTTGTCTGATCAAAATATTTTTTTGAAGTCCATTGAATGTAGCCGTTTCAATATGATTTAATGGATGAATTTGTGTTTTGCTGTTTGTTTGTTATAATAAGCAATATTATTTTACCAGACACTTATTTTACATGCTGTATATATCACCTTTATACTGTAAAATACCATTAAATATGTTATATCATATTTTTAAATTTAATAGCGGAGATATTATTATAAAGGTATCTAATGAAATATAAGGTAAAAACATATTTTGTATTGAAAAAATTGTTTATCTATAGACTGATATGAATGGTTAAGATAAACTTTACTATTGTTAAATATTAACAATTATCGCACTATTAATAATTGTTTGTTGTTGTTGATTACATTGGAATGAATATTTCATATCATGCTTTAACAAGAAAGTTTAAAACCTGGAATAGATGATTTTGTAGTGTACTTTTGCCATTAGTTTGTTACAGCAAGCAAATCTACTTAGCCCGGATACCTCTTTTACATGTATCTTAATTTCCAGGAAAGCCTTTTCTATACAGTTCCTCCTACTGCAATGGAAGCATACAGAAAGTCTATTGAATCTCATTTTCAACAGTGTGAGGTAAATTTATGCTCCCAAATGTTCTAATTTTACTACCTTTTAATGTTCCATGACTGCTACTGAAGTTTTATTTGTTTGAAGATACTTTGGTGTCAGCCTTGTTCTTTTATGTCTTATTTATACTTTTGATAATACTATTCCCCCCAGAAAACTGTTAGTAGCATTCAAGAGGAAGTTGAAACATCTATGTATGATACTGCAGCAGGTACTGTTGGGAATATTTAGTTTATTTGATTTATATGTGCATTGTTGATCAGTCTGGATTCAATCACAATTTCTTTTCCTCTTTAAATTTATATGTAGAATTTGGGCATGAAGAGGTTGCATATGATGAGGATGAAGGAGAAACTAGCATTTATTATTTGCCTGGTCTCTATGAGGGTAGCAGATCATCAAAATCATTACAGAAGAAACACAAAAACAGGATGAAGTCAAACACTCACAAGTCTAGTGAGTTTGGGACTGATTTGCCTTATGGGCACTATTCAACTGGACCTCAACCATCCATGCTACTTGGAAAAAGGCCCACAAGTTTAAATGTTGGAACAATACCAATAAAACGCATGCGTACAGCTTCCAGGCAGAGAGTTGTTAGTCCTTTTGCTGCGGTCTCTGGGACAATACAGGCTCAAGCTAAGACAGATGCTTCAAGCGGAGATACGAATTCCTTTCCAGATGACCAGAGTACTTTACATGTTGGAGCTCTTATTCAGAAAAGTGTGGAGGTGGAGTCAGTTGGAGATTTTGAAAAGCAATTACCTTATGACTGTGGAGAAACATCAGTTAAAACAAAGAAGAAGAAGCCCAAGAATCTGGTAATTGAAATCTGTGTTCATGTATATGTTTGCAGATTTTTGAAACTTGTGGATCTTTTTTAATTTTTAATCAGTATTTCTGTTGTATTTGCTTAACAATTATATTACAGGGTTCTGCATATGATCAGGGATGGCAATTGGATTCTGTTGTCCTGAGTGAACAGGTATTCTTTTTAAATAAAATTTCCTTTACATGGTATTCGTCTTTCTACTTGGCCATGATGAAAGTTCACTTGAGTTTCTAATTATGTACTTAGGTAGAGGTAAGCTAACATTTATTTCATTAATCTGAAGTCTTATCATTGCATCTGTTATAATTGGTATAGCAGTTGCTCCATTATATGATATTCCACTATAGTGCTTTGGGGTTGGCTGGTCCACTCTGTTCAGATGGTTATCTTATCCTTCGAATGGCATGTTTTTGTTTTTTATTTTGTGTAAGCAAAGATATTTTTATAATTTGTTGTGTTTGGTTGGAACTTATAACTACAACAGAGGTTTTATTCCAATAGGGAGGTTGGCTGGATAAATAGATGATTCCCTTAGCCTTGACCATAGAGACTAAACTTAACCCTTATTATTAGCCATGACGTGGCAGTTTTTTTCTAAACCGCCATAGGAAATTTGTAAGGGGATGGCCCCCCACTATGGCAGCACCATTGGTTGCAATGGCCTGTTTAGAGGGTAGAATTTTTGCCTTCTGGCATACTTTACCACCTGCCATTGATAACACTGCAGTCTAATGTCCTTGGTCTCTTTTTGCCCTTTTCTTCCAGGGCAATGCAATTTTCTTTCCTTATTGGTGATTTGAATGACCTTTGTATTTATCCAAACTGCTGATTATTTTGTTTTGGCTTTTCCAGATTCACTGCTCTACCAATGTCTACTTGTTTACAATCATCTGCTTCTTGTCTTTTTCTTGTGTGGGCATACATCTGTTTGTTACATTCTCATTTCTGCTATTTCCACCTATTCTCTTTTGTAAAACCTAGCATTCATCATACAAGATCCCTCGTTTAAAGAATATACATGTGATGACAGAAGAATAGGGATAGGATGTGAATACAGTTGTAACTCACTCACCAAATGGTTATAACTATTTCAGTTGTAATCAGTAGCATAAATGGGAGTTTAGTCAGAGTGGGATTGTAGACTTCAGTGGGAGAGTTTCTGGCACTTTAGAATTGTCCATTGTTGTACACAATCTCTCTCTTGTATCACACTGTTCTAGAGGAGTCATCATAATGAAATTCCATTCTTTCTCTTTATTCTCAATTCCTAATTTTGCCCCAGTTACCAGTTGATTGTATCAATTACTACTTATAGTATAGACAAATGTAGTAAGGTAAAACTTTACTTTGAACTTGATAGGTACTTTGTGATCTCAAATAATACCAATGCCTTTCCTCATGTTAACCAATTTGCTTGTATCTTGTGTATGACTTTCTCATCAATTTCCCCCTCTTTTTGTAATATTGATCCCAAATATTTAAACACAGAAACTTGTGGTATGACAGTTTCTTCAATTTTTACTTACTCGTCATTTCCCTTGACCCTTGCAAAATTGCAATGCATAACTTTGTCATACTCCTACATGAGTGAAAACTCTTTGTTTTCAATTTGGATGGAGCAGAATGCCTGGATGTTTAAGAATGACATCAGCTCAGGAGTTGATTTTGGATAAGAATAGGTGATTGGCTTCTATTCAGTGAAAATCACTTGGCCAGTTTGACTGAGATTTGTTAAGGTTATATTTGAGTTGAGGTTTGGAAATGACATTTTGGTAATGTTTTTAGGGGCCGTTTGGTTCAAGAAAGTATTTTCTATTGTAATTTCTAATTACAAAAATGTCACTCGTTTTTATTTTTTTACTTTGTTTCCTGGATTTTAGAAGTTTGTGTAGGAAACAGTGAAACCAAAAGTCAATATTTTTTTCCACTATTTTCTGTATAAATTTTTTGAAAATAGATTACGAACTTAAAATAGATGACATTTCAGTAATTAAAAGTGAAAACAAAATAATGAAATTGGAAGCCCTTTCTTTTTTTAAATCCAATAGCTCCAAAATTAACCATTCCCTTGTTTGGAGTTGAAATGATGAGGGGAAAATGGAGGATTATCTTGTAACCCTTCAAATTCAAACCACACACAACTCCCCTTCCACTCTTCAAATAATTTTTTTACTCTCTTTGTTTTCTTCTAAATCTTCCCATTCTAACTCAGAAATATAGCCTTAAAGGTATGTGGAGTGACTTGGTAGCTTAGATCCATTGAGGGGGGTCTATTATCCTTCACATTCATTGTACTTTCTGTTTGTTATTATGAATTTTGAATCCCTCGTATCTCTGATATGAAGAAGAAAAGAAAGGAAAATTAACATGGAATTGAAAATACAGCAGTAAATATGGAAAAAATTGATAAGCATTCTATTTCATTACCTTCTTCCTGTTTGTAATTTAAAATGGTAATTCATACTAGTCAATTTCATAGTTTAGTATCTCTACACACAAGTATTTGTGGAAAATTGAAAGCTTCCTTTTTCTCTAAAATAGGATGGCAGAATAATTGCCAAAAATTATGAATTGGGATTTCATTGAGATGAACTGAAATTTAGGTGATGATGCCTATGCACTATTAGATTTATTATATGTTTGATTGGTGGAGGAAGATGGAATGAAATATAATGGTAATATGTTCCATTGTTTGGATTTGTAAAATGAGGATGGAATACAATGGAATCTGGTAAAACCTATCCCACTTTTTTGGGAGAAGTGAGATGAAGCTGAAGGTCTTACTTTGTATACATTATGATATTCTATCTTTACCCATCATCAATGAATTTTTTTTTTGCTCTTTTCTGCTACGATTTTTACACTTCTCACCTTGCCTGCACCATGCTGCTGTCAACTTTTTATAGTATTTCAATGACAAATCTGCTTGTTACCAATATTCTATACTTCAATTTGGGAAAAATCAAAATTATAATAAAAATTAATATTAATCCTAGACCCTTTATTTCTTTATACATTTGATTGTTTATTATAATTGTTTTCATTTTCAATCTAAATAAAATATTGTTATTTTTAAAGTAAAGATGATAAGGAAATAGAAAAGTTATCACTCATTTCATCTAATCACTTGCCAAATGATCAAGAACAATGTTTTCAATCTAGACTGGTCATTGAACTAGTACAGCATTGGTTCAAGGTTCAAACTGGCTTAATAAAATATGACTAACAATTAAATAATGCATAAAATAATATTAAGAGAACATAATATCACAATTTATAATACTAGATACTAAAACATAATTTTATAGTTTTTCAAATTTCAAATACATGCAAAAGCTCAAATCAAATATATAATAAGTCGGTTTTTGTGGTTTATTTGAATTTGTCACATGACCGTTTCTCTAGCTTTCCAGATTGACCTCAGTTTGGTCTTGTTTTCAAAAATTGATCCAGGACTATTCCATTCCATTGTAAAATATCTAGACAATGAAATAAATTTTTTATTCCATTATTTTTTTTTTCACTCAATTCTAGTTTTCTTTCCAATTTGTTATCAATTCAAATAAAATTTACACTTTTACTATGAAATGTAGTTGGATGTTGCTTGGTTAGGGGATATACCAGTTAATAATGTTTAGATGGGATGTGCTGTTTTTAACTTGTAATGCTTAATATTGCTTTATAGAATAGACATTGGAGAACTTTACTTTTATTGTTCACAATATTTTCTACGGTACTTACCCGAAGGTGTTTTTATGTATTTGCAATGCAGAGGGATCATTCCAAGAAGAGATTGGATAGTCATAACTTTGAACCAAATGGAATTAGTGGTAAATTGCCTTGTTATCTGATAATATATATATATATATATATATATATATATATATATATATATATTTTTTTTTCTGTAGTCATTATTATATTTTTGTCATGTTTGACGAATTTATCTGTCCTGTTTTGAAGGTTTGTATGGGCAGCATAGTGTGAAGAAACTGAAGACAACTAAACAATCCCTTGATAATTTTGACAATGTTGCTCCAATAACTAATTCTATTCCCTCCCCTGCTGCTTCACAAATGAGTAACATGTCTAATCCAAGTAAATTTATTAGAATCATTAGTGGTGGACGAGATAGGGGCAGGAAAGCCAAAGCACTTAAGGTAATTTTGTTGGGAACTCAAATGGTAGTCTTGTAGCAAAGTGTTTTGTTGTCAGTGCACTCATTAATTTATTTTGGACGATTTGGTTTACTGATTATAGGTTTCTGCGGGACAGCATGGTTCTGGAACTCCATGGTCACTATTCGAAGACCAGGTTGTTTATTGTTGATAGTTATCTCCCTTAACACTTATTTCCTTTTTTGGAATAAATATTTCAATTCATGACATGCATTAAGTGGGTATTTATTCTTATCTCTTGCAGGCTCTTGTTGTTCTGGTGCATGATATGGGTCCAAACTGGGAGCTTGTTAGTGATGCTATTAACAGTACTATACAGTTCAAGGTAATTATATACTGATATAGTTACTCATAGGAAAGGTGCTACGATTGCAGGACATAAAGACATCTTCAGTTAACTTTATCACATTCTATCATCAAAAAGTGTCAATCTAAAAATATCTTTCACTTAATGTTGAGTAAGAACAAGGCTATGGCCACCATGGTGGTATCGGGTGGCATTTTGGAGCACCTCCTCTATTTGCCATGTCACCTTTTTTGGCATAATCTGCAATTAATATCGCTGCCTGCTATTCATGTGGCGATGGTATGTGCACACACTATTACAAAAACTGTAAGATTTATAGAAAAGTGTTTGGGTCATGTGACCTGCATAGGCCCAAATATTAACCCTAAGAAAAAGGGGAAAAAATTGTGCCATATATCAAATCTGACCCAAATCCCAAAATATTAATAAAAGCCTAAATATTGTCTTGTATTCTTGAGATACAAAACTGTTCCCTACTAACCCAACACTGTAACCCATCAACTGTGAGGAATTCTTCCTGTGATAACCCGGCTAACTATCACTGGTGGTGACGACCATCTTCAACAAACTTGATTTCTCTTGTTCTCTGCATCTTCTCATCTCCTTTTTTAAATTGTATTCTCTCTTGGTTCTTCTCTTATATTTTTTTCTTGGCTACTACTCATTTTTTTGTCTCCGTTTTTAATCTTTGTTTTCTTTGCTTTTCTTAGGGGCTGAGGTTTGGATCTGGTTCATGGCATATTTTGTTCTGAACCAATCAATTTTAGTTATTTCAGTTCAGATAATTTTTTTCCCTTATTTGTGTCTCCAACTGGAACCAAACCAATCCAATCTGACCATTATCAAGTTGGTTTGGATTGAGTCGTCAAATTTATTTTTAGCATAATAAATGGGAAATAATAAAAGAAATAAATTAGGAAATTGACAGTGAAAACTGAGTTAAAAAAAAAAAGGGAGCAGGTTATAATCTTAAGTCTAAATCCTTAAACTATAAATGTTAACAAAAATATAAAGAAAATATATTTGTAGTTGGGTGGATTAGATTGGGTCTTCAGAATCAAAACCCAAGATCCACCCATTGGATTGGATTTACATCTTTTCTATCCGATTCTGACCAATGTTTCTAACCAATCCAAATGTTGTGGTTTGGAATTAGTTTCTGGTTTGTCTCTTCTGTGGTGACCAGCCCACTCCGGAGACCTTTTTAGTTTTATTTTTCTTTTTTTTATTTTTTTTCTTTCTGTATTTCTTCATATGAATATAACGACTGGACCTTTACATTTTATATACCCCTTTGCTCTATTCCCCCCCTTTCTTTGTGTGTGTGTGTGTGTGTGTGTGTGTGGTTATCCAACAATCCGATCTATTGCTATCCGGGAATGACAACTATGATTAGGTTATTGAATGGTTATCCAACAATCCGATGTATTGCTATCCGGGAATGACAACTATGATCTGGATATGTGGTCATCCTTACCTCCCGTTATAATATCCTTTTATTCTGGTTTTTGCTTAAAATAATATTTTGATTTTATATTTTTAATTATTTTTAAACACTATTACTATTTTATTAAATTTTTATTCTGTTGATTATGTTTGTTAATTAATTTTTAAATTCTGGGTTATTTTTACTCTGTTATTTAATTGTTATTTTTTAGTTATAGTTTTTAATTATCATGAAGTCTTTGATGATTGTTATGACTTTGTTCTTTTCATACTTCAGTTATTTTTTGAAGTTTATTTATTTGTGCTTTTGTAAAAGTTATGTCTGTTTTTTTAAGATATTGTTGACGGTGGGGTGGGTATCTATTAGTTTTCTTCACCTTGGCTTCTGCCATTGGCTGCCATGTCATCTGTTATGTGTGTATGGTGGATTTTTGGCTTACAACCATAAGCTGCTATCTGCTTTGAATAACCTTGAGAGCTAATAGGGAACCTTTATTTTTCTGAAATAAATGGATAAAATTGCAAAGAATAACAATGGGTTTTATCTGTAAATGAAGGGGATACTCATTGATTACTGATGGTGGTATCTTCCACCTGATGGAGAGTCAAGTGGAAGACAAGAATGACTTAGTGATACCTTGTTTTACAAATACATCAAAAGAAAAAAGAGAATTCAAAACTGTTATTCTTTTTCCTTTACTTCTCAGCTATCTTTCTCATGGATCTGTAATAAAATTTTCCAATATTTCCAGTGTATCTTTCGGAAGCCAAAAGAGTGCAAGGAGCGTCACAAGATTTTAATGGATAGAAGTGCTGGGGATGGTGCAGATAGTGCTGAAGACTCGGGATCTTCTCAGTCTTATCCGTCTACGCTGCCTGGAATTCCGAAGGCATGTGTACTTTAATTATTTCTTATTGTGTATTATGCCTTCAGACATATATATTAGTGGATCCTCATTGTTGGTGAAGTTTTCAACTTTGGTTCATTATATAATTTTGTATCTTTAACAGGGTAGTGCCAGACAGTTGTTTCAGCGTTTGCAAGGACCAATGGAGGAGGATACTCTGAAGTCACATTTTGATAAAATTATCAAGATTGGGCAGAAGCAACGTTTGCACAAGAATCAGGTTTTAATCCAAAGCTTTTATATTATTCAGATTATGCTATTGCAATGACATTAAACGATGGTATTTATTATATATCAGTCACTTTTATCATTGATTAAATCAGATGATTAGTGGTTAATTCAATTAGCAATGGATGAACTTAATTGATATCCGGTTGATTTTGTGAATCAACTTTTGAATGATGATTGCAGTTGTGTGAAAGTTACTTTAAGATCTAGTTGTATTACAATCTATGATATGAAAACTGGACTGGACTGGTTAGTTCAGCTGCAAAATTTGTCATGCGTCCAGTCCAATTAGTCAGAGAACTGGCCTGTGAAGAACCAGTCTAAAAAGAGATGAATTGGTAAAAAACTCCTTAGACAGGTAAAAACTAGTCATAAATGGTTTAAACCAACCACTAAATTTAATTAGTATTTTTAATATTTTTCTATTAGGAGTTAAATAGAAGTGTTTTTATTTTTTTGCTTTTAGAATTGTTAAGCTATTATGTTCATTTGATATTATGTGTATCTATTATTTAATTTTCAGTAATATTGGTTCAACCATAATTCAATGACAGTTCAACTTTGATAAGGAACTAACTTGTTGCGATGAGTCCTTTTCAGAATTTTTCCTATTACAAATAACCACTTGTCATCATACAAATGATGACAGATCTGATGGAATTCCCTCTCTTCCAGTCCTATTTATTTGCCCTTTACTACAACTAACTAATATTCTAACTATCATAACTCGTTTTGCCTTCCTCACAATGCTAAGAATACTCTGCCCATCCTAAATATCAACATTCTTCTCAAGGTTGAAAGCAGCCGACTGATAACAAATAGATTTCATGCTACTCTTTCCCCAAAACCTACCTGTGCGGTACCCCCATGGTGCCCCATCTTCATCCCAAGTCTTCTTTTGTCAAAAGACTATCACTGATCTTTGCAACCAACTGAATCCCACTGCTGTTACATGTTTTTTCTCTCTCGTCTGACCTCTGTGATGGGACAAATGTGCTCTTGATTGGGTTTAATGCAGCTTCAACTTGATTTGTGCTAGGTGAACATGTTCCGATTGAGTTCTCTGTTATTTGAGGTTCACTACTGCAGTTTAAAAAATACAATTCATGCTCATGGGGCTTTTTGTGACTAAGTCCTCGTACTTATTTTTCACTAACTCTAACAAACTAAAATCCTTGCTATCCTAATTAACTCCTTCCTATCCTAATTAACTCCTTCCTTCAGTCCTACAGGTAACCTTTCGAGAAGTGGCCTTTGCCATATCTATTCTATTGATTTATTTCCTGGATGATTCCAAGAGTGCAGTTAGTTCCTAATAACTTGGACAAATATTTATAACTCATTTTTTAATTATGATTTTAATGTGATTTACTGGCAAACAGAACAACCTTTTTGTTAACCTTTTTATTTCCTGTCTCCTGCCCTTTTAATTTCTGACAACTAATTTGTAATGCTTTTGTTTAAATGTAGAATGATAACCAACCATTAGTACCTGTCCATAATTCGCATGCGAATGCTCTTTCCCAAATCTGTCCGAACAACTTGAATGGGAGTATTTTAACGTAAGTTCTATTTGATTTGTCCCAAATCTGTTTTGAAGTTTTAAAACTATAAATATTATTGAATTCCTGTCTATTCTCATTTAACCTCAGTAAGGCTTACCTTGTAATTTTCACATTCTGGGTGTACATTATTATTTTGTTTGACACAACTGCTCTTGTATTTTAATCAAATTTGGTTTATGGTGAAGGCCACTTGATCTTTGTGATACAAATCAAGCAATCCCAGATGGCCTTTCCCTTGGGTATCAAGGCTCTCATACTGGTGGTTTACCTATCTCAAATCATAGTTCTGTACCATCAGTGCATCCTTCAGGTGGGCTGAACTCATCTATTCCTTCGTCTTCTGGTATGAGTCTTAGCAATAACTTATCATCATCTGGTCCATTGCCAGCCTCTTCCAGGTTAGAATATTTTATAAATAGAGATTCTTGCTGTCCAATTATTAAATGTACATAACAATATTAGTTATTCATATCTTGGGTGTTACATGCGTATTCAGGGATAGTAGATATGGAGTTTCACGTACTCCACCTTTATCAGTTGATGAACAGCAGAGAATACAACAATATAATCAGATGTTATCCAGCAGAAACATGCAGCAATCTACCATGTCCATTCCTGGGTCACTTTCAGGAACTGATCGGGGTGGTGCACGAATGTTGCCTGGTGGTAATGGTATGGGCATGATGGGTGGGATCAACAGAAGCATTGGAATGTCTAGGCCAGGGTTTCAAGGAATCCCATCATCATCTATGCTTAGTTCTGGGGGCATGCTTTCTTCTAGTATGGTGGGGATGCCAAGCCCTGTAAATATTCACTCTGGAGTTGGTGCCGGACAAGGCAATTCAATGCTGAGACCACGGGAGAATGTACACATGATGAGGGTGAGTAGAGTTCATATTCTCTCAGAAATTAATTGGGGTTCAATTGATAACAATTAACATTTTGAAGTTGGAATTTTTGCTTGTGGCTATGAAACTTAATATCCATCCGACTTAGCATCCGAGTTTTTACAATGTTTCTAATGGCTTTGCTTGACTTAGTTTGGCAATAACTTAGCAAGTTAGTCTTTTTTTTATTGATTTCACCCCAATGCATTTTTCTTTTATCCTATTTTATTCTGACTAATGATTTTTCTTCCCATTTTCTTAAGCCTGGCCATAATCAAGAACACCAAAGACAAACAATGGTTCCAGAACTTCCAATGCAGGTCACACAAGGGAACAGCCAAGGAATTCCTGCTTTTAGTGGGATGAGTTCTGCCTTTAATAATCAGACAACTCCACCACCTGTTCAGTCATATCCAGGACATGCCCAGCAGCCACATCAACTAACTCAACAACAGTCCCATCTCAGCAATCCCCGTCCTCTTTCAAGTTCAAATCATGCTACTAATTCCCAACAGGCCTATGCTATCCGAATGGCAAAGGAACGGCACCTGCAGCAACATCAGCGATATCTCCAGCACCAACAACAGCAGCAGCTTGCTGCATCGAATGCCTTGATTCCACATGGTCAGGCACAGGCGCAACTTCCGATATCATCACCTGTACAAAATAATTCCCAGGCACAACCTCAAAATTCATCGCAACAAGTTTCTGTTTCCCCTGTAACACCGACATCCCCTTTGACTCCCATGTCTTCTCAGCACCAACAGCAGAAACATCACCTACCACATGGTTTCAGCAGGAATCCTGGAGCTAGTGGGTTGGCTAATCAGGCAGTGAAACAACGGCAGCGACAACCACAGCAGCGGCAGTATCCACAGCCTGGCAGGCAGCATCCTAATCAGCCACAGCATGCGCAGGCTCAACAGCAGGCAAAACTTCTGAAAGGATTAGGAAGGGGAAACATACTGGTCCATCAGAACAACTCTGTGGATCCTTCTCATCTAAACGGATTATCTGCACCTCCAGGAAGCCAAACTGTTGAGAAAGGGGACCAAATCATGTCCATGATGCAAGGCCAAAACTTATATCCTGGATCTGGTAATCCAAGTCAAACACCCAAGCCATTAGTTCCTGCTCATTCTTCAAGTCATTCCCAGTTGCAGCAAAAGCTACATTCTGGTCCAACAAACCCTTCATTGAAACAACTTCAGCAAGTGGTATCTCCATCTGATAATAATAGCATTCCAGGAAATGTTTTGTCAGTTTCCGCTGGCCATATACCATCATCTCCACAGACAGCTGTTGCTTCTAACCATCATCAACTGCCATTACAATCTCCGCCACAGTGTAAGCAAAGTAATCAAATTCAATCAAATGTTCAGAGAATGTTGCAACAAAACTGTCAGGTGCATTCTGAGTTGTCAAGCTCATCTCAATCTGATTCACCTAAAGTTGATCAACATCCTGCAAACAATGCTTCCCAAAGTGGTACAAACACTGCAATGTCTCCAGTTTGTATGGATGCAGCTAGTGTAACTGTTGTTCCTCCTATTGCATCTTCTCAGTGGAAAACGTCAGAATCACCATTTGATTCCAGTGTGCCCAATCCAGTCACTCAAGCGAGTTCTCTAGGGAGTACACTTGTTGGAAATTCAGCTGGAAATGAGCCACCAACTATTAATCAAGGGATGGGAACACAGCAATTATCAACTAGCTTACCTTCTCATGCACATAATTCTGGAGGGCAGTGGCAGCAGCAGTCACTGACTCTCCAACAACAGACTTTAACACAACCTATACCAACTCAACAGTCATATCAGCCTCCACAACATCAGCAGCAGCAACAGGAGCAAGAGAAGCATCCTCCCAGTGATGTAGCTTTGCAACATCAACCTCAGCAGCAAATGAAACATATGCAACCAGGGCAGGGCAGTTTGCTTATCCGTCCACCCAATTCTAAAGTGGAATGATGACTTCTGGATGGAGCTACTGAGTGCGCTTGGTTCTGTCAGAATTGGAATCTTATACCCTTTTATTACCATTGTACAGGTATTTTTTATTTTCTATGGGCTTGTGGTATGAAAATTTAGTGACTCTTGAAATACATATTTTACTGAATCTTTTTCGTTGAAGATGGGGTCAAATCGTGAACTTTTAATGGGAAGAATAGGAAACATTTTACTTTGAAAATTTCTTTATTGGGGATGTTTGTGAAAAGCATTTTGATCAATGTTAATCTCAGTATTTGATAATCACTTGGCCAACAGTGACATTGTGATAGAAACCTGTTATGTTGTAGAACAAATAAGAAATATCTCCCATGAATAACTGCAAACTTGGTTTGAACTTTGAGGGTTTGCACCTCCCTAGCCCAAAGGCCCCAATCCTAAGTAAATTACGACTAACTAATGGAGTTTTCAACACCTTATTATTTGAATTTTGTGCTTCTGCAATATGCAAAGGCCCTGCTGATTGGGGTTGCAAAAAGGAATATAGTTGGGACTAGGTGCGGTTTGAGTATGAGTGGGAAGGTTAGGTTTCAACAATGGGTAGAAACCATGGACATTTACTAGGCATGGCAACATGGCAGGGTTGGGGCGGTTTTGACCTCTCTGACCCTGTCTCCAACTTTCTTAATCATCTGTTGAGTTAGAAATTGATTCCCTGCCTCCGTCCCATTGGGTTGTGTTTTCTTGTCCCCATTTCGTCTTGATTAACACAAATAATTATACATTAAGTATAACCAATTAATTTTAACATTATTTTTTTTGTGTTGTTTCTCAAAATGTAAATATACGTAATTTTACAATTTTTAAAAAATTATTTTATTGATTGAGTATATATTTTATATTATTATTATTATATTAAAATATCTATATAAAAAACACATGTTTGATATCTTTATGTTTGCTTCACGTTGATCCTATGGATGTGGAATACTCATAACATTGTTATTAGGATATATTAAAATTATAGTCAAACCTTGACTGTTACATGTATAAGTCAATTATTTCTTAAGCCTTTTATTTTAAAATTTTAATAAATATGAAATATATAATTTATAAGAAAATATTTATTACATTAATTTTTATTGAGTTACGACAAAGGGTAGAAGTTTCAACTATCAATCATCCAATACTATTCATCCTCCAAAGCACATAATAAAATAGAAATGATTGCCAACTAAATCACATTTTAATTGTATTTGGTCCTTATTATTTAGTCTCATCTTCCATTATTAATTAAAAATGTATAACTACAGTATAATTTTTTGCTACCTATCTTTGCATCTCTATCCTGTTTTACAATAGCTAGTCATTTTTTTAAATAGAAAATAAGACATGTTTTGATTATAAAAGATTAAAAAATACAATTATTTAATTATCAAAAAAATTTGAGATCAAATGAATAAGAATAGTAAAATTTGAAAAACATGACATGATGGCATAATAAAACTTAATAAAGACAAAGTTGAAAAAAAAAGTGGTATTAGATGCCTCTAAGATTGATGTACACTATTTAAAAAATGATGAAGAAACAAATAATTAACCTAATGATATCATGGGATTGTTTGAACAGATTGGGAAAGATGAAAGAGTAAATGGTGAGAGAAGAAGAGTGCGGTGAACTAGTTGAAAAGATTGGGGAAGGTGAAGGAGTGAAATGTGATAGAAAGAGAAAAAGGTTGATGTTGTGGTTGAAGAGATTAGGGAAGGTAAAGGGTGGAAGAAAAGACAAGAGTGTAGAATAGAGAAAAAATGAATGTGTAATATGAGAAAGAAAGAGAGACAGTGAGGATAAGGTGAGTATCTTAGGGTTTAGATTTAGATGAAAAGTTGAGAAGGGGACGTTGGTGGAGTGAGAATTGCATTACTCATCTCTGCGGATTTTGATTTTTTAAAGTGAAAAAAATTTGAACTCGAACCCGATCAACTCGATTTTCGCATCAACTCGCATCAACCTAGGGAGGGGGGCGAGTTAGTTCCCAAGGATATGGGTTTGATTGTTATCCTTATCATATGATTGGGAGGATAACTTAGCCTTTGCTTTTGTTTTTGTAATATAGTTGACATACCATTGTTATGTGAAAAGGAATGATAAGGGTTCAGGAACTCTTCTTTCAGGATGTCTAGATTCTAGAACCTGCATTATACGCTGGAGTTTACTAGGAAACAGTCGAAGTCTTTGGGATAATAGTTTGAGTTCCAACTATTGTTTAGCTTTGCTTTCACTTTATATTTTCTGGTATGCATTGTAGTCAAATTATGTGCAGTGGAAGAGTATGGAGCAGCCATGCACTGCTACAGGTTTCAAATAATGTAGTCATTTCAGTAACAGCTGCTGTGGTTGCATTTTTACTGATGAAACAACATTTAGTTTTGCTTAGAAACATTGTAGGGTTTCTTTCTCTATTACATAAAAGGTTGCTTTGTTTCATAGGTCTCTCTGTTCGTGCATTAGAGCTCACTCTGTTGGCATTTTTGAACTCCCAAATGTCTGCTTCTGTTCTGCATATTTAACAGTTCCCATTTTCCTACATTTTCTTATTTGTTCTGTTTTTCCCTCCTAACAAATTCACCATCATCTTTCAGTTTTTGACTTCATTCCTATATTCTTATTGCATCCGCATTGTGGTGATTGTGAATGTAAACTGTGTCTTGTCTATCATTAATTTCTTTAATTTTGGGTAATATTTTTTTTTACTATTTGAGGTATAAATAGTTCGTATCGTAGAAGCCATCCCAAATTCTGCAATCCTGCTATTGCCATTTTAGGATGGTCCCTTTGTATCAGTATCTGATATTGTTATCTATGATGTCGCTATATGTAAATGACTATGGTATTTTTAGATGCAAATAATATTTCTTTTTTATATTGGAATGGTAAGAATGCTGATATTGAATTAGAGCTGTATCAGAGGTATAAATCTGTTACTGGTCTGCGACCCAAGAAAATAAGAAAAAGAACTAGACAAGCCCTTTCCGTAGGAAGAGCCCGCTTGTTCACCAAGCCTAGCCAATATTAACACCGCTTTCCTCGTTCCCCCCTTATATAATCTCTCTCTCTCTCTTTTAACTGTCAATTTTGCTATTCTCTCTCCTTCAATCACATACACATGTTCCACTCCTCACTTCTGCCTTCATGGGCCTAATATCACTTCCCTGGCACTACCATACCTATACATAATGGGCCCATCAAATGACCATGGTATTTTTTACATGCAAATAATATTTCTTTTGACTAACATTTATGCTTGATGTGGTGATTGTTTCTCAGAGAAATGAGAAATTACTCTTTTGTAATATGCATTGCTTAAGATTCGATGTTCTTTTTAATTGTTCACCAGTTCTATCCAATGTGTGTTTCTAGCCTTTTGACTTCTTTTTTTTTTTTTTTTTGGTGTGTCTAGGATGTGGACATTGTTTTCTCCTAGAGGAAATCCAAAGATGAAATTTACTCGTTTGTGTAATGTGTATTGCTTACGACCCGAAGCTCCTATTAATTATTTATCCGTTTTATCCTTTGTGTGAATTGGGGCTTCACATTTTCTTGTTTTTTTCTGGTTTTGAATATATTTTTCATGGCAGAATGAGAAGACTTCAATTTTGTATGGTTTTTTTGTGCAGATGATGCTGGTCATACACGAGGGCTTTGGAATATGGACATAGATATCCAATGTTTTCTGTAGGTCCTGTTAAAACTTAGGAAAAATTGTATTGGTAGGCATCATTGCTTACGTTATTCATTTCACAGGTCTTGTATATTACCGCTGTTTTTAGAGGGTATTTTACTATTTTCTTTGGAAAGAGACGAATATAGAGGTATCTGTACAGGGTCGTCTCTTCTTTCCTTGTAACCCCCTCCCTACTTTCCGTTTTTGTTTTCTTGTCTTGTTTTCCCTGCTCTTGTGCAGAGGAACTCTTTATTTTTGTTCTGCTAGATTAGTGAAATGTATTATTAGCTTGCTAGATAATTGGGATAGGAATCATTTTTATGAGTAAAAGCCAATTCAAAGTTTTGTGAATATCTGCCATTGGTGTCTAGAAATATTTTGATATTACAAGTTTGTAGCCATTTTTTAGCTTCTGAAATGGGAGAAGTTTTGTCTTATCTTTTTCCTTGTGGTATCAATAAACAATATTTTTCAGTGCATAATCAGGTTATTATGAGGACGGGTGATATAAAGTTATTCCTGGTAAGCTTTATCTGTTTAATGCTTTCCGAAGGGAGCCAGTTGGCTGTGATTTAATACCAATATTTGTATTCCTCAATTCTGGGAGAGTTCGGACTGGAATGATAAATTAGGTTTTATTTGTCACGGACAAGGAAAGAGTTTTGTAAGTTGTATTCAAAGATAAATCAGGTTTTGCTTTTGTATGCAAGAGCAGAATGGTGGTGCTTCTCTATAAAATTTGAGCCATAAAATTTATATTCGAACCTTACCTAATAAACTCATTTATTTTAGCTTTCTCTTATTGACTACAGTATTCAGTTATTTCTAATATTTTACTTGTATAATATTATTTGTAATCTATCCTGAGGTTAAGTTATACATTTGTAGGACTTAAATAAAAGTTGTGATTTTATCTATATAATTATTTCCGAATTTTATTACATTTACTTTACTAATATTATTACTAAAATATTTTTTAGAGGTCGAGTATCTTTTCTAGTTTTAGGTTTTGTAGTATATTTTTTTTTCATATATTTTTCTAGTTATGTAGTTTTACTAGCTTGACTCTTTGAATTAGAACTAATATGATATCTTATTGGAACTGAAGCTAATCCTATGCAACTCATCTTTATTAGGTCCTTCTAGTTAATATAAAATTTTAAAAATGAGTGTTGGATGGATATTCTAAAAGAACTCCTAGTTAAATTAATATTCATATTTGTCTACGTCACTATGCTATGACTAAAATGCTTTTAAAATGAATGGAGAAGTGAAATCAATCAAAGAACTCTACAGAGGGCTATAAACTTTTGCCACCACTTCCAGAGCGTTCTCCACACCATCAACATCCAAAAAAAGGCTAATGACAGACTCAAGCTCAAACCCCTCGACTTGTTGGATCTTAACCTCATGGACATGAACCACACAAACCAATCCATTGCAGGAACCTATAAGGAAGCAGTCGCAGTGAGACCTTGGCATTATTTGAACACGAGTGAAGTCTTCAATAGTTTCACACATTTGAATCGTATCAGAGTTTTAACGGGAGCCCATGACAAGATTTTTGCAACCAATTCTTCCCACAAAAAAATGTATTTCAGATTTCGGAATTTTTACCTAAATTAGTTTTATATCACACGTATGAGTCTTTAAGAACAAGGTGAATTGATTGACATGTCTAGAGTTAATTTTGTTCGAGATTATTAGATCTCTTGGATACAAAAAAAAAATGTGCTTTGCGATTGACTATAATTATGGGAACAAGAACAACACATTTATCAAGCTTGTGTTTTTCTGAAACAAGACAAGGGAGTTAAGTCAATAAAGTGAATTAATTTTTTTTTTCTTAACTCAAGGTTAATCTTGATGAATTCATGTTGACAACTCTATCCTAAACAAAGGTCAAAATTACGTCAAAAAGAATATTAGAATTAGTTGGGTGTTATAAATTTGAGCTTTTTTTGTTAAATAATATGGAAGAACGGAAAGAGACAGAATATTACTGCACTATACACCAATAATACAATACAAATATTTATATAGAAATTCACCTTAAAATATTACTAACTCAATTGCTCAACTAATTCTTAGAGGACGTTTATTTAATGGTTTGATTTTGTCTCCCAAAAATTATATTATATTCTCTCGTTAGTTTTAATAATTTCAGAAAAAAAATTAAATTTATTTTATTTATTTAAAAAATGAATTGAAAAAGAAAAAGAATAAAATGTAATGAGAATAAGTAGATAATTGCAGATAATAATCGTCATTCCCGTGATAGGCAACCCTTCTCATAAGACTAAATATAATTTAAAATGTGAAAATGTTACTTTTTCTAAAATAAAAATAATCAAGAATATATTTTCATAAAGGAATGTATTTCCATCCTTAAGAAAATTGTCTATCAAACAAGAAAAACAGCGTTGCTGGCCAAAGAATTCTTCATTGCCTTTTCAAGTATATAGAAATTTGGAACGGACCCTAAAAGAAAAGAAAAGTATTTCTGACATAATGAAAAGAAATGACTGAGAGATAGATGAAATAGATCATCCATCTGAATAGAAAATAATATGAAATCAAAGAAAAGTTGTCATTTTAAGAAAATGTGTCTCTTATATTTTTTATTATTTTTATTCTTATATATTAGTAAAAAATAATATATAAAATTAAATTAAAAATATATATTTGTCTTTGTTAATATTTTTATTAATTAATAATATTTCGTACACTAATGAATCTCATGTGATGAAAGTTCCAAAAGAGCCCTATGAAGCCAGGCAAGTTACAGCTATAATCCGAACTGAAGACGGATTTTTGAAATTAGCTCACGGGGTCACAATCACGCCGATACTTAAACGGAATAAATAATAAAAATATTGTTTCTTTCCTGTGTTAGTATTCACTTTTCCTTTTGAAGGATGGAACCTATACGATGACAAGATACACCTAACTAAGAATCACAGAATTTCATTTATTTATTTAAAATATATTTTAGTTTTTGGATCAACTAGGAGCCACAAACCACTCTTGACTGTAGATTAATTCTACCAGATTCTTTTAAAAACCAAAGTGATGAAAATTATCCAAAAATACGAATTACAGGGGAGGGCACATCCTCTAGGAAAATCCAAAATTTACTGTTAAGCTCTTGCTACTGTTTACAAGGTATTACAGAAAATGTTTCTTCTGTATATATGTAACTGGTATTAAAATACATCCGAATTTTGAGTAGCATATTTTTGTATCTATGTCCTCTGTACAGAAAAGCCAATATGAAAATCAATGTGGTTAACACACTCAGTTATACATTGCAAAAGAATAATTCGGAGTCCAGAATCCTCATAAAAAATTCTTGTTGCCTTCTATACATTGGGCTATCTACTCCCCATAGCCCATTCCTCAAACCTGAAAAGAAATGAATATCACAAGATACCACTGTTTCCCTCCGGCAATCTGAGACTACAAAATTGGGTTTTTATATAATCAATAGAAGAAAAGTCACCTGTGAGAATGAGAGCACATCTTTTATATAAGCCAATGGAAGTTAAGATCTGGTAGTAATTCAGCTGAGTATAAAAACAATGGACTAGCAACCACTGCAAACACTGATGCTGAAAAATGGGATACTCATCTTCCTGGGCCATAACTTCTATTTTTAGGCCAACATGAGTTTGTCCCCTGTAATTTGGGAAAAGGTTATATGTTTATATAATACAAGCATTCAACTCTAGTAATAGCAGGAAAAAGGTTATCACCAATATCTATCAAGACTTTATCTAGAAAATAATGCATTAGAACAATACAAAGGGATGTGCATAATAAGTCAAATTGAGTAATATATTGAAATGTAATGCAGAGTGTGCACAAGTCGAACTGAGCAAGGACCTACCTCAGTTCAAAGTAAATTCAAGATAATATAGCGGTGGATAATGTAGCTTTACTTTTGGATACTTACAGTCGTAATTCACTAGGAAGTGTTTCCTATTCAAATTATTATTTACTTGTCCAATATACTTTGAAAGCCCAATTATTTTATTTAACGGCTTGTGTAATTGTTACAAGGAGGATAGGATATTAATGAGGGAGTTATGGTGAGTGTGTACACTAAAGAACAACTTCTTACAAAAGTTTGTATTACTCACTGATTAGAAATGAGTATAGGAAAATCTTCCAATTAAATTCAATGCTCTGCATCAGATGAGCAGAAAGGTATGCACTCAAATCAAAGAAGTATTATAAGACAGTCCGTTGAATTTATATACTAAATTATCAACTGAAAGCGAGGGGCAATAGCAACTTACATCAAATCTACCCTCCTTTAAGCTTTCCAATGACTCAGCAAGCTCAACTTGCTTTGAAGCAGTTGCTATCAGGGCCTAACATGAAGATGCGAACTCAATCAACACAAATCTCAATTCTGAGAACAATATGACTTTAACTGTGGTCGATCTTATGGTAGGAGACTAACCTTCTTTGTTTTCTGTAAGTCATATTCTATACATTTTATACGACTTAATGATTCTTGAAGAATATCCTCTTTTTCAGGAGGAATTGATTTAGGTTTATTGGCCATTTCACTAACCACTGCCTCTAGATTCTGCAACCTTTGCCAAAGTGGCTCTTTTATTGCCGGAGTAAGTAAATGTTCCTGGAAATTGGACTGTGATGATTGAGTTCTCCCATTGTTTCTTGGTTGGTTGTCTACAGAGCGAACCATAAAAAATCTCCCCAATGCCGCAAATACTACATAAATACAAGTTAACAATTTGACTGTGATTTGAGCCAAAATACTTGTAATATAGGGAATAGGCTTCCCTGGTAGTCTTCTCATAAAATTGTTGATTGAATCACCTATCAAATGCATCATTTTTTACAATTAGTATATGATAAGAAATTCTCCTAACTAGAAAAGGAAACAAAATAAAGAGTGCTCCTAGTGATAAAGCTGTGAGATAAACCTTTCGGAAAATAATATTTAACGACACATATATACTAAAAATTCAATCAAAGAATCAGGCGCTAAGAAAGAAATAAATATCCATCCTGTTCTTATAACAAATTGCCATAAGATAAACCTTTAATCGTGTGATGTAACTTGATGAAGAATGGAACAAGTGAAATAATTTGCCTAATAAATTGAAACCACACATCTCCTTTCCTTTCCTCAGTTCAAGTCGACAATCTAACAAAGATTGGTCACAGGTTATGTAACAAGTTCTATTATCATCATTTATAAGTCATAACAAAAGTTCATCCTCTAATATTTAACCAGAAAAAGAATGAAAACCCTAATCAGAAAGACATAAGGAATCACATACCTGTTGAATCAACATCCCCAGCTTCTCTGGAAGCATTAACTGGCTGGATTAGGTTTTCGCTAGGTGCACAGTCTCTCATTGTTTCCTGAAATAGGTTCCATATCATATTTGAGTTGCACATACCTAAAATTTTAAGATAAATACTATATTTACGCAAAAGGAGAAACAGACAAGTTCCGAAAATATATGTTCTAGGGAGCACTTATAAGATATTATATGGGTTTAGGGAAGTGACTGGTAGCCTACTTTTGTATGTTCTCTTTACCTTATTAAATAAGCTTCGTGGTTAAACTTATCAAAATAAAGTCACTTTAACTTTTTCAGTAAGCCCCAAAGCTAAACTTGTAAATAAGCACTAATTTTCTAAAGAGCTTATATAATAATTTCTTAATCAAATTATTCACTGAAAAGTGACCTTAATCATCTTAAATGCAAAATGTTATGGCCTTCCAAACATTTTTTTTCTTTCAGTTAGGTATAAAGTTTAATCATATCTTAATGCTTTAAATTTGGCATTTTTTACATAGACTTATCTCCAACAACGGAGTTAGCTGGTGTGGAGATCAAGAAGGTAGTCTATTGAGTATCCATTAAACCCAAGACAAAAAATATCCTATTGAATAACTAAGGCATAAACTTGTTTTATTACAAATCTATTTCTTTTGGTTTAACTTATTCTCAAATTTTTAAAATGACACAAATCCCAAATGATAGACTAAGCTGATTTGGGAGTAGATAAAGTGTTTCGCTGACCAAATTCTTCTGAAAGACAAAATGTAAGATGCACAACCTCATGTTCACAAAATGAAAGAAAACATATATGTTTTTGTTGAATTTTACAGACATCAATAGCTTTGGACAAGTAAAACCATTAAGCTCACTAGTTAATATCAGAATGAAATAGTATCTAAACAAACTCAACTGACCAAGCATGTAAATCGTAGCAGCATCCACCATCCCCCATTCTGTTCCCTAAATCACCTACCTTCACAAAACAGTTTTGACATCCTCAACCATAATTTTGGTAGCACCATGATGGAATGTTTATTGTTATGATCGAAAGCTGACATTAGGTGCAAACGTATACATACACACTACAACTAGTAGTAGAATTCCTTTTCATTTGAATCAGTTCCATCTTCATTGGTTTCACTAATATAGCTAAGTGCTACCACTACATTCCTTGGTCATAAAATCGGAGATAAGAAATGCACCCTAGTAAAATTTTAGATCAGGTGAATAGACATGGGTAGGTATCCACTGCAGTTCTTTCTAATTTTGAGATTAAAATTTTGTATTATAGATTCTAAAATTTTTTTATTTACTTTTTTGTGAATGTAAATTTAGAGAGGAGGTTTATCCAATTTTACATTGAAGACATGCTATGAACCTTAATGCGGATTTACAGTGTACCTTATAAATGACCTACTATCATAACAACAAAGGCCCACTAACAGGAATCAAAATGAACTTTGTATTTAAAAGTAGTCCATTTCCAGCATGCAATTATGGGATCTATCAGAATGCACAAAGACAACATTCTGTTGTACATCGAATTTTTCCATTTCCAAATTTTAAAATAGCTTTTCAAAAAAACTGTACTGGGAGTTTACTTGACAGTGTTATCCATTGCGAATCACAATAATGGCAGAAAACCAATAATCAACCATATCATATGGCGGATAGCATCATGGGCAAATGGCTGAAGTTGCATAGCAGTTGAAATATATGATATATATATATATATATATATATATATATATATATCAATTATGTATGCATAAAAAATTAAGTTGTATGCAAATAAATAAAATACACAAAAATTGGCATAAAATTAACTCAAAGTCCAATTAGTCAATAGACTTATCAGAGATGACAAGAGGATGCAGGAAGAGGAGAACATCGATGGAGGAGTCCTTCATTGATCCTCACATGACGACATGACTATATGTTTAAGTATAGGAGAAATTTAATAGGTTTTATGTGAGTAGGAGGAATGACACACTAGGATTGAATGGAAAAATTGTCTTGTGTAGTCCCCACATCCTTTGCTCAAAACCATTGACATGACAATGCCTGCTGTAACCACAACACCTAAACAGCCTGCTTCAATATCTGTTTCGCAGAAGGTGAGGTGCACCATAAGTTGTAATTGTGAATCTGAGGAAATTTCCAATGCAATAGAAATATAGTGCCAAGGTTGTCAAACTCTCTGAGTTAACTCTTAGACTTACAAGTTTAAGGTCCTAAATAGGAAAAACAAGTTAACTCATTATCAAAATCATTTCTAAGTAAACTCCGGTAAACGCTTTAAACTGAGTAGCCAATATTAAACTGAAGTGCAATAAACTCCAATCCCCCTAGAAAATTGTTTCAGTATTCGTAATTAGACAATATGAAAGAATATGAAATAGATCTTATCTCCTTGCAATCATAGAACAAGTTCATCACTCTGACAAAAGGAAGTTCAGCAGTCAATATAGAGAACCAAATGCAGATGGTAACCAATGGTGAGAAAATCTAGGAGCTAGCTTCCCAAATTTTCAATGTTGTTATCCCTGTCCTTCTATTTTATACAAAAACAAAATCAACTAACTTATTTGACTTATTCATCAAATCTTATAAACCGTGCACTATACTTTACTACCTAAAGTGAACATACATTGTAGAGGATTGGAAACCAAGAAGGAGGAAAGAAAATCATATTCTTGGTTGAGTGCCAAACATTTGGAGAATATAACTATTTATGCCATTGCTTGATTATAAAACGAGTAGTCATATTTTTTAGGAGATAATAAAAATGCTTAGATTTGAAACTCACAATAAAAATATATAAGAAAGACTATGAAGTCAGCTCACTTTAGCACTAGAAGGAACAGATTGTATCAAAGCTAAAGGAGTCAATCTTGCTGCCGACACTGATTCAGTTTCAGATATTTCAGAGCTTGTAACCTATGAAGAAACAATCATGTGTAAAGCATTACAGCATGCAAAAGAATATGAATAAGGCTTGTGAATAGTACAACGATATACTGTATAGGCACTAAATTTATGTGTGACCTTGCTGGCATATGACTTCACATCAACCTCATTAGCAACAGAAGAACTTCCAAACTTTGTCAGCTTCATTGCTTCTCTAGAATGTAATAGCTGTAAATAGAAAAAGGAAGTATTAGCTGTATAACTCGGCAATAATTCTTAAATGTGATTTCATACAAATGTGGAAACCTAATGATGCCATACTTTCCAAATGTTGGGATCATTCCAAGGTCCTCTGTTAGATCTAATACAACCTCCATCATTTGGGCACGAACAACTGCCACCAAGGAAATCTGGAAGTTGGCTGTTGAAAAAAGACAACAAAGGAATGCTCACATGATATGCATTGTTAGACATAGAAGCACTTAATTAACTGGAACAGCACAAACTTAAACACAAACCTTGAGTCTATAATCTCTAACAATCTGCTTTGAAACTTGCTGCCTAAAACCTGCAGATTTAGCATGAAAAATTAACACTAATGCTTGTTTCTATCTAAAGTGAAAACATACAAAGAAACATAGATACATACATGTATTTTGGCTGTGGTCCTTGGATCAAGAAAACCTTTTGCAGTATTCCATAGTAACTTGAACCCACTACCAGCATTAACAATGAACATCTGGCTTAATGTCTGCAAAAAAGACCAAATTCACAAGTGAACAATGACTGTATAGCCAAATTACTAACAGCAATTCGTTTTTGCAGTAAGGGTTCCTGGCCACGGTATGATTTAAGTATTATTACTGTATTAGTTGGCAGTATGTAAGGGATGGGCATTGTGGGTTCAATAAGCATAATAAAAGTATTTTATCCCTAATTCAGGTTTCATTCCAAAATCTATGCGCTCGAGATCAGTACAAGCATGCACCCATGTGAACATATGCATGTAAATGGAGAGGAAAAATAGCCAAGCTATTCATGAGGAAGGTGAATTATTACTAAGTAGGCCCCTGTGACTGGGTTTTTTGCATTTTTTTTCTCGAAGCTACATATTTAATTTGCTTTCATTTTCTTCATCTATTTGTTCCATTCGTATTGTCATGCAAAAAAAAAGGAAAGCCAATAAACTATGATTTGTTGATCAAGTTAAATTCAAGTTCCTACCAATTACCTCAGGGTAGTTATCACCATCAATTTTTTGCATGCGCATAACAAGATCATGTGCAACTTTGCTAAAGCTCACCCAATTCTGTAAAAAAAATCAAGAAATAAAATTTGACTTCCACATAATACTATTTTGGTTATTCAGATATGTTGCTGTAAGAGCAAAATATACAAGCTTACCACGCCTTGCACATCAAGTATTGTCGTGGTTTTATCTATATGCCTCTTCGCTGCAATAGAGCATGCTGGGAATTTCTCTTTAAACATTTTCTCAAATCCCTGAACATGATATTTTAAAAATCGATCTACTGTTGTGACACTCATCAACTTGCTGGGTTCAACTTGGCCGAGTCTTTCAATATAAACCGGCCGGCCCTCCTTGTCCACACCATGGTAACCATGAGGATAATAACATTGAACCTCTTCATACTCCTTATACACGAAGTCCTACATATTATTCATCATAACACTGTTCATTCAGTAATGAAAAGCTTGAGGCAATTCTTGATCAAGAAAATCATGTTGGGAAATCCTCTAAAAGGGATATATGCAGGATTTCTCTTAGATTTACAGCTGCAGATGGTTGTTAGTAGAAAACTAAGCTAAGCATCTACAATTTTTGGGCACGGATTAGTAAACAGTGGATTCTTTAATAAGTAAAAGGAAAACAACCAATGAAACTTTACCTTTAAAATAGAATCTACTCCATACTCCTTCCTCCAGTGGAGCATATCTGCCCACATCTGGACTGTTTTATCAATGTCAAACTTCCTGGCCTTCAGAAACCTGCAGCATGAAAACATCAGCAGCCTTTTTAATATATTACACATCTAAAGATTTTTCTTTTGTACAAAAACTTGTCTAATAAAGAACTTGTTTTATTTTTTCACCGGAAGTTGATGGAAAAAAGGTTTCAAACATGAAAGAATGGAAATTTGGATAAATGATCCTTTAACTAGTGCGTTAACTGAAACTCTGCAATGGACATAACAATAATCAAACATTTGGATTTCTCTTTAAAAGAGGAAGAACACTTCAAAGAAAACAAAATCATGTCAGTTATTGAAGAAGAAGATACAAAATGTCACTCCAGACAAGGTGCTTCCATTAGCACATTTGCACGACCAATCTTCCCCAATTAAGGTAAATTAGAAATTGCACCTCTGTGGCAGATGAATCAACATTCAACAGCATATGAACAAAAATAGACCATGATATGCTTTTATTAAACAATCTAAAGAAATAAAACTAAGCAATTAAAAGAGAAATAGCACACTCAACAGAAAAGAAACTTGTTAGACACATTCATTCACCTCAGCATTGTATGATAATCATCATGGGAATCTGGAAGCAAATCTCTTGTAAGTAGCACCTGACGAAATGAATTCACAGCTTTTTCCTCATTAGCATCGCGGACATCTTCTATGAAAATTGAAGTAAATTCACTATCTGCTACACGTGTATTACGCTTCCTGAGACTATAAGTGAGTCTTGTTGAAGCAGTCATTGCTTTTCTCCTAAGAGATCTAGCTCGAGACTTCCGCCACTCATCCTCAGATGTTTCGGGCTCTAAACTTCTACCCCTCTCATCTTCTTGAGCTAATACTTCCCCTAAATCCATAGACATCAATAGTTAGACTCAAAATTACAGTCCCAAAATACAACCAGAATAACAAAGATGTGTTCACAAAATCAACATCTCAGTGCCACACCGGACTAGGGCGTTGTACCTGGCATTCTATTGAAGACACAAGTAATTTGCACCTAGATTGCCTCTGCACCAGGGAAAAAAAAACGTATTTAATGACGACATATGCAACCCAGGATCAGGAATACTCATCATCTAGGGCATTACAAAATTCATGTATAACAACCATAAATAATTAATTTATTTATCTGGATTAATTAGTGAACTGAATCCATACAAAAAAAAAAAAAAAAAAAACTAATCCAAGACCCCAGATCAATGAACAAACTAAGCCCTTAGCCCTCCACACAAGACTAAAATTGGATTAGAACATTACTCAGATAACCCCTTCATCAAGAAAAAACAGGAAGTAAAACAGAGAACAACAATTACAACAAACTCCAAAGAATCTAGAACATTCCCACACTGAAGGCTAACACTACAACGCAATTGTTCAGCTGAATCGGCTCCCCAAACAAACAAAAATGCCCAAAACCATAGATCAATCAATAAACAAGAAAAAAACAACATTACACTTCCAGCAAACAAAAAAAGAAAAGGACCTACATTTCACAACAACAAACGCAATTTCGAGAGAATCCAATGAAAACAAATAAAAAACAATTAAAAACACACAGAAATTCCACAACCGAGCTGGATTAAAAAAACAGTAAAATAAGAAAAGTCAGAACCGAAAATCACAGATCAATCAACAAACCAAACCATGGACGCAGATTTCCGATCCTAAGGGAGAAAAAGAACTACATTGCATTCCAGACACGTACCCGAATCGAAACGGCGTCGCGTCAGACACGACGATAAATAACAACAATAATAATATCGGTGAAAAAAAGCGAAACGAATATCGCTTTCTCTTTGCGAGATCGAAAAATGGCGCGCCCCTCTTCCTCGGAGTATCGAAATCCGTACGGAGCCGCAGACAGAGACACGCATACAGAGAGAGAAAGAGAGAGAGGAACGTAAGAACTAACGAGGGAACAAAGAGAGAGGCACGTCGTTATCAAAAGCGTTAGCAGTGGCGTGCAACGGCCGCTTCTGTTCTGCTACGACGCGCTAACGGCGGCTGTTTGATTTGTTGGTGAAATTCTGGAAGTGGGGACTCCAAGAGAGAGCCGTTAGTTAACGGAGGTTGGGTGGGGTTAGATCGGGTGCTGCTGGTTCTAGAATGCGAGCGTGGAAACGGAATAAATATAAAGAAGTGGAAAAACCTTTTGTTCTTTACACTCCCAGCACAAACGTGCTTTTCTAACGCATTCCATATGGCATAACATCACCGCTCAATTCATTGTTATAAAATTCATATTATTAATAATTAATATGAAGTTAGAGAAATCAAAATTTGTAAACTTCTATTCAACCTTTCTTACATATTATTCTTCGATTTGGTCCTTACTATGTGGCATGTCACATAAAAAAATATAATTGATATGCTAATTAACATGTCACATTGATAAATTAACACTATTAGTATCATTTATTCTCTCAAATTTTTATTATACTTATACTAATTTATAATTAGATGACATGCTTCATATGGTAATGTTATTGATTTGCAAATAATTTTTTAAACAAATATAATCTAACCCTAAATTAAAAATTGAAATATGATAATATTATAGACTGCTTGAACATTGTTTATTTAATATTTGCGTCACAATTATTTCAATGAAGAAATAAATTTAGGTATTTTAATTCTTATTGGTAATATAAATTTATTATGCAAACATAATTTTGAACGAACTTCTTCATAAAAAAAAAAGTTTAAGAGGAAAAAAAAAGAAAAAAAATGAAATGAGTTTTTCTATAAATTAAAATTAACTTATACCAATGTTAAAAAGTAAAAAATATATAATATATAATTTATATATAAATTAATTTTTATACGAAAAAAATATTTTCAATTTTTTTCCTTTTTATTTTTCTACTCTAAGATCTTTATGAATAAATTCGTCCAACAAAGCAATATTAACTTTTACTTTCTTATTATAATTATTGCATTTTAGTAGAACCTTTTTTTTATAAAGCAATAAATTCCCTAATATAATTTAATATGTTTTCATTATTAACACAAAGTATTAAAATGCGTGTATTATACTGCAAATAATGTACAAGGTTATAAACTTAAGAATAAATTCAGGTTTATTTTGTTACAATATAACATAATAAATGTAATATAATAAAAATAATATGTAAAAAATATATTTAAAAGAATTGTACAATTAACACTAAGTCCAAATGTCTAAATTAACGTTTTTTTAACGTCTATGTATAAACATGTATACTTATTAGATATGCAATATGCGATAATCTGTGGTCCATATTTGGTTACCTATTATTTTATTATATGAACTTTTGATTTTTTTTCCTTCTCAAAATAAAATGATTATACCATAATTTTTATTTTTCTACATTCAACTATTTTTTTTTCCTTAAATTAATAATTTAAATAAAAGTATATTAATTAACTGTTAAACAATCTTCTTTAAGTATTGAACGAGTTAGAATCAATCATTATATATATATATATATATATATATATATATAATCCAACATGGGTATTTTATTTTTCAATCCTTTTTGATATTGGAAAAAGTACTTTGATTTTTTTTTTAAATTAATTTAAATCTCTCTCTCTCTCTATATATATATATATATATTAATTAAGTAAAAATAATTTAATGACGATAACGTCTTTAAAGCACATCTCCTTAGTTAATTATAATAATAGTTGTTAGAAAAGTTTTCTATAAACCTCTAGATTAAGTTACCTCCATTACCTAAAGTCAGATTCTAAAATGAATGTTAGGAAGATTAATAAAAAGTTAGAGAAACCTAACCATTTCATTGATAACTTTTCTTACAACCTAATTTTAAATTTTAAAAGCGGTAAAATAATTGTTTACACTATTTAAACAAATTTATAAAAAAAAATTGAGAATATACATTTTTTCTATGAATTTTTTGTGTAATTAGAAAGTAAATAACTATATTAACAAGTTCGTTTTAACTTTAGATTTAACACGTTAATTAATATTTTGTTTTTTATCTCACGATCTAAAAATAAATAAAATAGGGTAGGGCAGTTGATGATTCGCTATTTCACAACGTCACCGACCAGTTGTTGTGGGCCACGTGGAGGCCCGACGGTGATGAAAAGAGTGGTGGCTCTTTACGTAAAAGGGTGCAAAATTGCACATTATGTGGGTGACCTCCACGTGAGATTAACCCTTTAACGGGTCCCTCTTACCCTAATAAATAAAAACAAAAGAAATCAAAGACAAAGCGAAAAAAAATAAATAAATAGATGTTTTTATTTGACTATTGCTGTGTTTTTTTGGTGGCTTTTAAATATTTTTTTGTGTTGGTTCTTTGGATCTTACGCCCCCATCTAATGAATGTTGGTGTTGGCAAGGATATGCTTCGGCATTGTATAAACACAATTTTTTTAATTTTCTACGAAATCGAAGAAGGTTTAACGGGTATGGTTTGGAATTGGGATCTAGTGTGTTATTATGAGAGATTGACGTTTATGATCGTGACTTAAAAGAGTGGTGATATTAAAATAGAATTGTTTACCGGAGTTATATAAATTTGGATGGTCAAAATATGAGTTTCTGACTTAAAATTGTACTTTGATATACTATTAGATTCTAATATAAGCATTTTTGGTTATGTTAATGTAAAACTGGTCCACTGTAAAAGTTTTCTTCAGATTTCTTTCTTAGGCCTTATTATTTTAATTAAATATTTCATACGTAGTATTTTATTCGTGATATTTCCTTCCACAGGACACATTTACTAAATGGGTTAGAATGGATCACTCGCAAATCAAATTCTAACCTCTATTTTAATAATTTTTATAATAAAAAATATTTAATAAATATAAAATATATATATATATATATAATAAATATATAAATATAATATATATTTATATATTTTAAATATTTATTTATATAAATATATCAAATAAATATAAATATAAATATAATTTTTATATATCATAAAAATAAATTTATATAATTATATTATTGATATATTTGTATAAATATAGTAAATATAAATATATTTAATATATATTTATATATAATATTTAAATATTTATTTATATTTTTATAAATATAATAAATACACATATATATATATATATATTTATATATTTAATAAATATATATTTATATCTTTCTATGTACATAATAACATAAATTATATATATATATATATATATATATATTATTTAAGAATATTTTGAATATAAAATAATTTTAATAAATAAAAAAATGTTTCTTTAATAAAAATATATAAATATTTTTATTATATTTTAATATGTTTTATATATTTTTATAAATATGGTATATATAATTATATATTTAAATATTTAATAAATACATTTTTTTATATACATTATAAATTTATTATATATATATATATATATATATATATATATATATATAATACTGAAGTATTTATTTAATGTAAAATATTTTTAAGAAATACAAATTATAATTTTCTATTTTTTCATAGAAATATATAAATATTTGTAGTAAATATAAATACAGTTATTAATATATATATATATATATATATATATATATATAATAAATATTAAATAAATATACATATTTATATATGTAAAACATTTGTTTATATTAAATATATACTAAATATAAATATATATTTTATATATAATAAAAATATATTATATAATCATATGTTTAATATATTTGTATGTATTTTTATAAATATATTTATACATTTAATAAATACATATTAATATTTTCTTGTATATATATATATATATATATATATGATAATATATTTTTTAAATAATATTCAAGTATTTATTTAATAAAAAAGATGTTTAGTAAATAAATATAATATTTATACTAAATATAATTTTATTTAATTTCGATATAATATAAAATAGATTTAGTATAAATATTTTGTTAAATTTATATATAAATAGAAATTTGAATTAGTTAACTTGAGTAAGATATACAATTTGAATTATAGTGAATTGATATTTTAGATATTAAATCAATGAGACATGAATAAACAAGTTACAAAACCACAAATGAGTAGAATAATTATTTATTTATTAATTGTAATGTCATATTATAAAACTACAACAAATTTATATATAAGAAGTAAATTCCTCAAGGTTAAGATTACGCTGACAATGATTTCTTGTGTGACCTGGAGTGTGACAATAGGAACATTTCCTTGAATGACCTTCTTCGCGGATATCCATTTCAGTCCTAATTTGTGTTGATTTCAGACAACCCTTGGAACTTCTTGTTGCTGTAAACACGATTGATGTACATCTCATAATCATGTTGAGCATGTTTGCATGCTGCAACCACATGAGAACATGACAGATGAAGTTTTTGAAACATCCCATAATCACACAAAGTTTCATCTAGTTTAACAATAAAATTACCAACGGGTCGAACTTCTCTTGGGTTGATGATCTCCTCCACCAAGAATCTTGTGTTGCTTCTATCAAATTCAAGCACCCTATGGGTGTTTGATTTTATATAAGCATCTTGTAAGACCTTTGATGCAACTTCTGAATGGACATGACCAACCTTAATCATTATTGTGATTTGTCTCCCTCTTTTTGTGAAAAATTTGTTACATCTTGTGTATGTGGCCATGACCATGGAGGAGATTGGTAGATTCATTATTTTCTTTAGGACTGAATTAATGGATTCAACTAAGTTGGTTATTATTTTGAGAGTTGCATTCTTGAATCTTCACATAAAATTTTGCGCAATGTGTTGAATGCAATACACATGTATACAATTACCCTCAATCCATCTATTCTCAGGTATTGCATACGCTGCATGAATTGAGTTGTGACGATATAAAATTACGTACAAGTTATCTTGAGGTGTGACATACCTTTGTTGGCAAAATTTGGGTCATGTATATATATGATACATAATTTAAATGTGTTAGAGTCATTATTTATTAAGCCAAATAATAAAGTGATCTGACTAAATTAAAGTTTTGGCTAAAAGCATATGTCATGAAAATAAAATTGTGTAGAGACCATTGAGCAATTTCTAATTTGATGAGGGGCCAAATTGGAAATACTAAAACTTAAGTAATTAACCTAATTTTGGTTATCTAAAGGGTCATGGTCCCCTTCTGGGAGCACACACACAGAACGTAAGTATCAGTCCCGTTTCTTTCTTTCTATCCCCATCAAGAGAGAAAATCAAGAGGGAAATACAGGTGTTTTTCATGTGGAAGA